ATCATCTCATACTTTTTTATATAATAGTTATTTTCCTACCTCTTACTCAAATATATTGAGGTATATAGATTTAGTATAGAAAAGGTCGGTTAGGAATACATTTGCAAGATCCATATTTTACGGGTCACGGCAACAAAAATTAAAAATAAAGCAAGCTGATGATTTGAACTTGCCACGCGGCGATCTTAAGTTTTTCAAAACAGTACAGGGATTAAAAATATATATTTTTTATAAAAACATAATTAAAAAAATTCTAATTTTATATTTAAATAAAACCATTATATTAAAGTGATTATTTTTAAAAATAATTAAAAGTTAAAGTTTAAGTTTTATATTTAATATTGATATAATCAGGAAATTTAGAGTTATACTGCTATTAATTCACGCCCCCGTTAAACATACAAAACCGAGTGCGCAATGACAACACAATTTAGATAACCATTAAAATAATATTATACTCTATTATTTTTGGCTTTATATACTTTTTGGCTTATCCTTTATCTAAACTTTAAAATAAGGGATCGTCCGTAAGTTACTCAACGTTAAATTTCACAATTGAAGAAAACAAAAATGATCTAAATTTTTCCTCGCAGAGTCGAATGTTAAATAAAAAATCTATAGAGCTCATTAAGTTTAATAAAAATGGTCATCCTAAAGAACTGAAGATCTCTTCTACTTTTTGAAAAATAAATTTAGCGTTGCGTAATTTGTGGGCGATTCCAAGCGTTTTATAGTTTATCTATTTTTCTGCTCTTAAAGTAGTTTTTCAGAACAAAATTAATTTACTTAAAAGTATTGAAGTAAATAAGGAATAGGTATAGAAATAATCGGTATGGAATAGGTTTGTATAGAAATAGTAGGTTTGGTAAAGTCCCGCATTTTACGGATTAGAAAAGCTAGGATACATAAGGAAAAGGTAATAAAAAGTTTGGTTTGGAATAGACTTACAAAGACCCGTATTTTTACGGGTCCGATCTCAGCTAGTATATATATATTAGGGGTATGACAATTTTTCAACCCTGTATCCCCATACTCAATTTAGTGGAGTTTTTATGCAAAAATCAAGAAAATATCAAACATTTATACGATATATCAAAAAAGTTCACCCCCATTTAAAAACAAGATTAATAGAATATGAGAAATATTATTTTGCAGTATGTTCCAGTACTCTATAGAAAACTAACCAACATGAATAATTAAAATAACTTTACAGTACATTTGACAATAAGTATTTAATGTTAAGTTTTTCTATGTTATAGCATAAAGGCACTAAATCTTGCATCACTTTTACTGCACGTTCTAACACTAAAAATATAGGAAAAACTATTTTCAGCTTAGGGGGTGATCTTTTTCAAAAATTAACATTAAAAACTTATATTTTCTGTTTAAAAATATAAATTCTCCACTCATGGTGGCATGGGGAATTAAAAATTCATAAAAAATTTTTTTAGTCATACCCCTAATATATATGTATATATTGTTCATCCCAGTGGGGATGAATCGTCTAGGGAATGTTTATTTGACGTCTTACTCACCTCCTCGGACGACGCGTGTTTAAAAAATGCAAAAACAAAACACAAAAGTTAATTGTTGTTGCAATTAAAAAGCTTGGGTATTGTTTTGTTAATTTTTATATATTCTATTAAATTTTACAAAAACAGGTTTTCCCATTCCAATTTATAATATATTTTAGAAACGCCTTTAGACTGTTAGCCTTTTAGCGTTAGCACCATTATTTGCAATAACGAAGTTAAAAGATTTTTCTTGTTAAACCATTTAAAAGACTTACAAACTGCAAACTTTTACTCTATTATCTTATAACGTCTTATAATTTATAATGTTGTCATTTCAAGACAAATTAAATCTCTTATGGACAATGTAAAGTGCTCTATTATGAATTTAATTAATGAAATGTCATTGCATTTTGAGAATCCGTATAAAAGAACAACATTACAAATTATATAAGCTATATGCGTTAAACAATTGAGTACTTATTTATAAAACTTCTTATATAAAAGAATTTCTTATACAAGAAAATTTTGTTATACGAGAAAATAATAAAAATTGTTTATTACTTGTTTTCATTTAATGTAATCTCTTTTTTTTTTAATATTAAGTTTAAGTTAATAGTAGTTTGAATGAACTATAAGTATTTTGAATGAAATTTTAAATTTGGAATAAAGTGTTATTGTTTTATCGATTATATATTTGTATACGTAAATCTAAAACTCCTTAATATCAACAACCGAACCACCATATCTGAAGTCATTCACTATATCAGTAAAAATACAGTAATTGAAATCATTTGGGTTCTGGTGGACTTTGATGTTGGACCTGATTGTTATTTTGTTTTTATATTTTGCCAATATTAACTTTTACGTTTTTAACATATGTAGGTATAAAAGAAGTAAAAAAACTCCGTGTTCTCTCATAAAGGGCTTCGCATTGTATTAGTATTTATTAAACGACTTCCTATTTTTGTTTTTAAAACAGTTAAAGTTCTTAAAATAGTTTAAACCTCTAATTTAAACAGATAATCAGCTTTAAGCACAGCAAAATGCCTGCATGCATAAACAATATTAATTATCTAATGTCGCCAGAAAAACGAGATTTTCATAAATGTTTTTAGTTAACAATCAAAAACAGCAATCAAACAATGGTTTTAATGCTTTTTTATTGTTCAATTTTCTAATATGTTTTTGTCTAACTACTATATTTATTTATAAATCCTTTAGAAAAGTTTACATTGTGTTTCGTGCATGCATATTAAATGCATTATATATTTTTAGATCGGTACAAGCCCAGAAAAATTAAAACAGTTAATATTTAATTTTAATAAAATGTTTGTTAAAAACTGTACAAAATTAAAAAAAAAATTTAAAGTCAATATAAAAAAACATTTAAAGTAAATATAAAAAAAAATTATAAATATGATTCAAAATAAGCTGAGTCAGCAAAAATTATGCAACTAATAAGCACATTTTCAATCAAATATATCTCGTGAACAATTCAAGTTGAGGCAAAAACGTTAACAACATAGTAATTAAGATACAATAGTATATAATAACTAAATATTAATAATAGTATAATAAATAATAATAATTAATAAAGAGAGAGAGAGAGTGTGTGTGAGAGAGAGAGAGAGAGTTACAAATAAAACTATAGTAAAAAAGATTATTAAAAAAGAAAAAATGCTTCTTTGACAGTTGTACATCCTGGTTTCTTGGAAATGTAATAATCATAAGGCAAAAAATTAACTTTTTTTTTAATCTCCTATAGCTTTTGTTTATTTCCTATCTATAAATATAACATTCAAATATGAAAAATAATTAATCAAAACGAGCAGATAAAATTCATTACTTTCTCAATAAATAGTTTATTTTGAACATTATTTATAGATTTTACATATTTACAAAATTGATGGCAAAGAAGTTATGTATAGAAGTAATAAATTTATTATCAAAAATTGATAAAAATCAATTTTAATAATAAATAAATAATTTAATATGAAAATATTTGCATAAATACAAAAATAGTTTGCATAAAGGTTGCAAATGCACTACACAGAGGCGATTTTACGAATAAAATGAGGGGGTGAATCCTTAAAAAGTACCTGATTGGCATCTAAAAAAATAAAAATCAATAAAAGGTTTTCAAAACTACAATTCACTGAAATGTGTCAAATACTAGACTAGCCGACTATACTCGCCGACTTGCCGACTCCTCAAAAAACTGACAATAACTTTATAACTATAATTCATTTTTGAAAACCACCTTTTTTGGGGGTGTATTCCCCCTCCCCCCCCATACACACACTCCCTTAAAATTATCTCTGGCACTACATAACACAGTTTTACGCCCAAGTAGACAAAAGATAACAGTTTTACGTTTAATTTGTTCTTAGCTCTTTTTTAGAAAGCATTCTTTCTAAAGCTAGCAGTTGATACTTTATGCTAGCAGTCGATACTTCTTAAGAATTCACTATCCACCCCATTTTATTTTATTTCTGGAATCACCTTTGAAATTATATAAAAATAGTTGTAGCTAAAGATGTTATGCTTCAGATATAAAAAAAGACCTTTCTTAGGCTTAAAAAAGTCAATGAACATTAAAAGTAAAATGTAACTTGAAAATTTAAAATGATTTTAACCAATAAGCGCATTATTTATATTTTAAACATTGAGTAAATTTTACTAATACATGAATGTTTTTTTTGTTAATACCATTGCTTATATATATATATATATATATATATATATATATATATATATATATATATATATATATATATATATATATATATATATATATATATATATATATATATATATATATATATATATATATATATATATATACAATACAATTAATTAAAAAAGGAATTACTTAAATTTACTACGTTATTCGTAGATTCCTATATTAGCCATATTGCGCTAATATAGGAATCTACGAATAACGTTTTTTTGGAAATACGCCAAAAAATGCTGAATACTCAATGGTTAGCTTTTTTTAATATTAAAACTTGTCTGAGTTTTTTATAAAAACTTGTCTGAGTTCTTTATAAAAATTAAACTTAATATAACTATTATACCAAAAATTATTTTGTAATATTTGTATTGAATAGGTAATTTATTAATATTTATTATTATTTGGATTTGAAATAATGTTGTAATATTTATTATATACATTATATTTTATATATACTGATAGGTATTTTACGATAAAAATGTATTTATAATTTGGTTTACCTAAAGAGAATCATTATAAAAAAAAAAAAAAAAAAAAAAAAAAAATGCGTATTCCAATATATTTTTTCTTAGTTCTCAAAATCCACGACAACCAAACAGCAATTAATAAAAACAATTAAAATCTGATTTTTTTTATTCCTATTTGAAGTTTTTATATTCTATCGAAGTAAAAATTTAAACAATTAGATGCGTCACTTCCTAATAAAGTTTATAAACTCTAAATGATTGATAATTAGTCACGTTTATATAACAGTTGAACTTTTTTAAAGCTCAGAAGTTTTGAGTGAGAGATAAAATTTATATAAAATAAAGTGACACTTTATAGTAAAATAAAGATTGTATAGTCAATAATGTTTTGTTAAATATACTGTGGCATTCTAGTCTGCTTATTTTTATATTAGTTTATTCATTTTTATAGATGAAGAAATCAGTTATTTGTTTGAGTATATTACTTTCTATAATGCTTGCAGGTGAGTGGTTGTTTATAAATATTTGAAACTTTTTTATAATTTATTGGCTTAATTTGCTTTTATTGAGAATCCTGAAATTAATTGAGAAATCTTAAATATTGAAGGGTGGGGTTTATTGATACCAAAAATAAATTCAACATTTCAAGACTTACTAAATTACTTATTACTGATTTACTAAGTTAAAAATAAAGTAAACATGACATGAATTTAACTTTATTATAATTGTGTATGAGATATTCAGAGAAAATCTGAGTATCCAGCGTGCAAATTGGGCCCGATATTGCCAAAATAAAAATAAGAAAATTTTACTCACAATAGTTAGCATTTTTGTGTATTGTCAGTATTAGCATTTTTATTCAAATTTAGACAGTTTTCCAAAGAGAGTTATGCAGATTATCTTAAAAGAAGCTAGCTTTATTAGTTTAGTGGATTGCGTTTATGTAATGGGACGCACCCGGTTTGTGTTTTGTGAAATGCGCTCAATTTATTAAATTGAGATGTAAGAGATTATAGGAAAGCCATATTTGTAAAGAATTTTTTATTTTATGCGTAATTTATACTCTAAAATTTTATTTATTGTATAAATATTTTTAGTTAATTAAATGTGAGAAGGATTGTGGTCCGATCTCCGCTTAATTTTCCTTCTACAGTTGTTTGTGGAGACCTTTTTTCGACTTCCAATAAGAACTAGCACAAATCATTAATCATTTTTTCCTCCTTTGCTTCATATTTGAAAGTTTCTTCGAGTATTTTTATGCACTTTTGCACCTCTTCCTCCTGTTCTTTGGATAGATGTATAAGCTTGCTTTTTTCTTTGTGTTTTTATTAATAGATGGTCATTCCATCTATTAATAAAAACGCCAAAAAACAAAAAAACAACAACAACCATTTAAGTATGAGTGTATAAGTCATATACATATACTCATACTTAAACCTATATATAAAATAAATATGAATTTGTATATAACCATTATATAAACGTATATCCATATATCTATATGAGAACGTGCATGAATGCTTACACACCTGTATATGAACCCATACTTACTCATATAAGTGTACGCACACACGTACACACACACACACACACACACACACACGCACACACATACACACACACACGTATCTATTCACAAAGTAACAGGTCGTTTTATTTGATTGTGTTAGAAATCTGTTTAAGTAGTTTAAATTACAAGTTAAGTATAAATTTTAATGATATATTCTAGGTTACGTCTAGATCCCATTAAATTTTTCTCTAAATATTGTGTGTATGAAAGTGTCTTTAATGGATTTTATGTTTTTGCATGTCTTTTTCTTTAAAAGGTCTTTGTCATTCTTGATTATTTTCCAATGTTTCAGTATTATGTCTGTAATTTTTTTTCCTAATGGATCGAATGGCATTACGACTAGCAGACAACCTTCATTGTGGTTTATTCTTAATTTTTCTTGGGGTTTTGTGGTGAGTAGATCAATTTGTGTTTTTCTGTGGTTCTTCTGCATCTGGAAATAGACTAAGTTAAATGGGTATTTTTTGGTGACTAATATTTTTTCTAGATTTTAAAGTTCCTTTTCTAAGTCTATGTTATTGATGGTTAGCCTATTAAGTCTTAATGTCTGTCCGTAAATAATGCCCTCTTTATGGTGTCGTGGATAATAGGAGTGGTAGTGAAGAACGCCGTTAGTGTCCGTTGATTTGCGGTATAAGGTAAACGTAATTTTTCCAATTTTTTAGAAAGAATTAGGTCCATGAATGATATAGAGGTAGTCGAGTTGGTAAAAAAAATTGGTTGTCTTATGTAGGTAGTTCATAAATTCTTTGACTCCTTCCAGCTCGTTCTCCAACCCATGAAACGTTAAAAAGATGTTGTCAAGAAATCTTTTATAGCTTTTGATAGATTTTGGAAAGTTTTTGATGATTGCTTTATCAATTCTGCTTATAAAAAAATTGGCGTATGGGGATGTTATCCTAGTACACAATGAAGTTCTTGATATTTGGTGGTAATAAATTCTACCAAAATCAAATGTACTATTTTCAAGCATGGTCTAAATCATGATCATGTAGGAAGTCTGGGGGATGATTGGAAGGTGTTGGGGATAAAAGAAGTTTGAGAACTTTGTTAGATAGTATTCCACCGCTTTGATGCATAACCCTCATTAAGGGGCATGTTTGTGTAAAGGGATGTGACCAACCAAAAGTCTGCGAACGACCAAAAGTCTTTGGATATTATGTTTTAATTGGAGAGCCTACGTTGTAGATTGGTGCTGCCTTTAAAATAGGCAGGTAGTCTTTCTGGTAGGGGTTGAATGTACTCTGCGACGAATTTTGACAGATTATTCGTGGGTCCTTCACTACCTAAAACAATTGGATGGAGGGGTATTTTGTGTATTTTTGGTAGTCCATAGAATGACGGACATCGGCATGGGTTATTTGGTCTAAGTTTCTCTGCTATTTTCTCATCTATCGAGTATTTGTCACGCATATTGTTGATTAGAAAGTTGACCTTATTGATTGTATGTTGAGAAGGGTCATGTAGTTTCTTGTATGTTTTACAACCTTCTAATATTCTAAAAACCTTGAGTTTGTAGTTATTAGCATTCATAACACAGATGTCTCCTCTTTTGTCCGTATGTTTGATGGTAATCCCTCGTTTTCTTTTGAGTAATCTCAGGGCTTTGAGGTCATCCTTCGTCCCATTACTGGTTAGGTTTCCCCTCTATTTATTCAACACTAATCTAAGTTTCTTGACTAAGATTGTAAAACATCTTAAGATTTTTCCATTATCTGTTTCTGGAAATTCCCAGTTTGGTTTAGTTTTTATGTTCCATGATTTGTTGGACGCATTATTTGTTTTCATTTTATTGAAGAACAAGTTTTAGGCTCATTCTTTTCTTAAATTTTTTTTTTGAGCTCTGTACTAACAGTTGAGAATACGTTGAGATTCCACAATAAACTTTAGCCCCATACCAATTGTGTTAAGTTGTTTGTGAGAATTTCAGTACGGTTTTCAAAAGATGCATTCAACAGAACATGCAATCATAGACCTCATGAATAACATCAGCTCATCTTTTGATAAGGGACAATTTGTATTGGGAATCTTTATTGATCTTAAAAAAGCTTTCGATAGGTTTACTATAAAATTCTGCTTGAAAAAATGAAAAAATATGGTATAAAAAACAAAACTATTAAATGGTTCACCAGTTATTTAAATAATAGGCAACAATCTGTCATAATCGACGATATTTCTAATTCAAAACTATTAAAAATAAAATTTGGTATTCCGCAGGGATCAGTTCTTGCCCCCTTGTAATTCCTTATATACATTAATAACCTTCCTAAAGCCTCTACAAATCTTGATTGCGTAATATTTGCAGATGATAAAAATCTGTTTTATTAATCCTCTTCTATCGATGACTTTTATGATAAAGTCAACTTTAAGCTTCAACAACTTAAAATATGGTTCAGTGCTAATAAGTTAGCAATAAACGTACAAAAAATTTAATATATTTTATTTCCCACAAAGCAACAAAAAAAGTCACTTCCATATATTCTTCCCTCTCTAAGTATCGATTTCAAAAATATTGAAAGAACCCAAACAATAAATTTCTTGGAGTGATTAAAAGCAAAAATGTTTCATAGACAGCCCATATAAAGGCTATTAACACTCAAATATCTAAAAATCTTGGTTTACTTTTCAAAGCTAGACCATTTTTATCACAAAAATACTTGAAAGTTCTTTACTTTCCGTTTATACATAGTCATTTTACATACGTTAACATTGCTTGGGGAAGCACAAAGAAGACAAAGTTAATGTCTCTTTATCGACGGCAGAAACATGCTTCTAGAATAATATATCATAAAAACAAACATACTTATGCTAAACCTCTAATAAAAGAAATGAAAGCGCTAATCATTTATCAAATGAATATCTATTCTAATAAACTCTAAAAATTTATGATAAAAATAAATTCTAAAAATTTATGCTGATATACAAAATGGGATTGGTTCCTTCACGATTTACAGAAAACTTCTTTCATTCAATTACAATAAGTTTAAAACAAGAGCAACTGGTAACTTTATCGAAACCTGAAAAAAAAAACTCTCAGTTCTTTATCTCTTATCGCGGTCCCTATAATATATAATTATATATAAATAGGGACAGCGTAATTTGTATATAACAAATTAATTCCGAATTACACCTTAATTTCTCTTCCTCACAATATATTTTCTTTAAAATCAAAGCTTAAAAATCTTGTTCTAAATATAAATAACTACATACAATTGTTCTAGTTCACACGGTAAATAAAAATTTGAATCACATAAAGAAAAAAATACACACAAATCATAATACAACTAGAAAAAATAAAACAAAATTTTATCACAATAATATTTAAAATATTTGTACATAAGAACCTCAATGTTTATGTGTATCCAACCCCAAGGTTCTCAATGATAAGACTTATTCAGTCTTCTAAGAGTTCTTTATAACAATATAATATACTAGCAGTAAGCAACCCGTAATACGCGTTGTTAGTATATAAAATTAAAAAAAAAAACCGCGTATAGAAAAGCCTAGAAACTACTTTAAAATAGAAAAGCCTAGAAAATGACGTAACTCGACTAATAATAATAATATTAAATTAGCGTATTCATATTATAAGATTCTATTAATGTTTCCTAAATTTAAAATTATTTAATTTTTGTTTTATTTTTCTTCTTTATTAACTGAGGGTTATTTTTTCTGTTAAATATATTTTAGCAGTATTTGGTTAAATATAATCTTTTTTAACTGAAGTATATTTTGTTTATATTATGATGTAAAAAAAATTACAACTAATATGTAGTTGTGGAAAAAAAAAAAAAAGTGGTGGATACTTATATTTTTTAAATGCCATTCTATACTCTTTCCAATAATATATGATTTGGGAGGCCATTTGAAATAAAAAGATAAAAGATTTGCATTTTAGAATAAAAGTTTGAAGGGACGCGGGTTTAAATGGTATTGGAAAAAAATGAGTGTTAAGCAACAATCTTGTAAAATGCGTAGGCAATTTTATTTTTTGTCATAAAAAGTAAAAAAATATAAATATGTAATACTTTTCTTAAATGTTTTTTATCAGGTTTTGATGTTTTACCTATATAATGGATTTAATTGGCTGTTTTTTCCAAAGTCTTTATAACCTGACTTAAGTTTTTTCCCAAATCTTTTATATACTGACCGTTCTTTTTATTTATGTGTCACATAATTTAGTCAGGTTAAGTTGAAAAAGTTTGAAAATGTATAAATTATAAAAGTAGTTTCAATCCATAAATTATTTATGCAAAAACTATACAGCACCAAAGAAAATGAAAAAACTTTATGTCTCTTTATTGCTATATATATATATATATATATATATATATATATATATATATATATATATATATATATATATATATATATATATATATATATATATATATATATATATATATATATATATATATATATATATATATATATATATATATATATATGGTTAGAATTCAATAAATACGGCTGCGTATAAACTTTTTTTAAATATATATATATTTTTTCTTTAATATATAACTATTTCGATATTTCGCTGATCTATTGTGATCAGCGTCATCAGGTATAATAAACAAAATAGTTACAAAATTGTTATAGTAAAAACAAACCGTTAAAAAGATAACATTACAAAGCCATAATATAATACAGAAAAAAACTTTTCAAACAACTGACGTCAGCAGATTTTATTAAAAAATGGCCCCCAGGTTTTGGTTGTTACGTTATCACCGTCATCCCGATTGAGAACCACGTCACCATTTCTCAATCCTGTTGAACCCTAGCCTTGCTTATTTCGAGTGACTCTCTGATTTTCCGAGTTCGATATTACCATGGCCATGGTAAGTTTGATTGGTTGCACCCTAAAACATTATCTGTAGCCCCAGAATATCGAACTCAGAAAATCAGAGTTTGAAAAGTTTTTTTTTGTATTATATTATTGCTTTGTAATGTTATCTTTTTAACGGTTTGTTTTTACTATAACGATTTCGTAACTATTTTGTTTATTATACCTGATGACGCTGATCACAATAGATCAGCGAAATATCGAAATAGTTATATATTAACAAATATATATATATATATATATATATATATATATATATATATATATATATATATATATATATATATATATATATATATATATATATATATATATATATAAAAAGTTTATAGGCAGCCGTATTTATTGAATTCTAACCATATTTTAACGTATATATATATATATATATATATATATATATATATATATATATATATATATATATATATATATATATATATATATATATTCACTTTAGTTTCTGAAGCTCAAAAAGGAATCTTCTGGGATAAAGGACCTGATGAACAAAAAAAGATAAAAAAGAAAATCGACTATTATAAAAGTTAGTGATATTTACTAATCTGTTGTTTGAAAATAACTATGTTTGTAATGTAATAAAAATTGAAAATCATTTTTTGAAGAATTTTTTCGAAAAACGGTGAAGCTTAAAAGAGTTTAGTAACTAAATAGTTGTGTATAAGACTATCTAGTCCTTATTTTTGAGCTAAGTGTTTGAATTAAAGATTATAACAACACAAATGTGGTTAACTTAACAAAGCACGTTGTACGAGAGAATTAAAAAAAAGTTTACACCACCTATATACGCCCACATCTTAAGTTTGCAGTTGCTGCCTGGTGTCCGCATCTTAAAAAAAATATAAGTGTCATAGAACGCATCCAGCTACCAAAATGCAGCACGAAATAAAACGCTTTGATTACAAGACAAGATGCATCAAACTCAGCCTACCTATTTACCTAACAGACTTTTACGCAGCCACCTCAAAAAAACAAACAAACAACTTTGGAAATATTGACTCAGTTAGCTGGCATACTGATCCACCAAACATCCCACCAAGTTACGGTCATCGCAAGCGCTTTCATCGTGAAATGGACAAAAACTTACTCGTTTGCTATAACTTCTTCAAAAACCGCGTCTCTCACTCGTGGAACGTACTACCAAACGAAGTTGTCAGTGCTATCAGTATCAACCGCTTTAAAGTAAAACTCGATCAGCTACCGTAATTACTACAGCGCATAATCTTCCGTGCAGCTTTGCACGAACTAGCACGGCTAGCTGTTGATTGGTTTACGGAACACGCCAGTTCCGTGTAATTTAACTAAGTTAATATTAACTTAACTAACTAAGTTGTAGCTAAACTATATATTAGTACTCAAAAATTAAAATTTTTTTAAAGTTTAAAATATTTTAGGCACAAAACAACTAAATGTAATTGTTAATGAGGCTGTCGATGAAGCCTTTGAAGAAATCATGGTGCAGAAAATGACGTAGTATTGTTGAACATGTGAGTATGCAACTTTTATTTAAATAGTTTAAGTAATTAATTTATTTAGATATTTATATAAATAATGAAATAATTAAATAATTTGAATAAAATTAAACTTGTGGAGCGTGGATTTTCAGCATATAGTTTAGTTTAACTTAAAGGGTTTAGAAAGAATTACCAAGTAAACTTTGCCTACTTATTCTTTAAAATAAAAATGCTTTTTAAATTCAAAATAAAATCTAATAAAAACCCAAAATTTTAAAACTAGTTTTCTCATCAGTTTGATAATTTTTTAAAACGCTTAGAATAACCATAGCTACAACACTTCTTCTACTATTTGTACATTCAGATTCAAACAATACTGGAATAATATAATATTTCAGAGTATTGAATTCTGTGACCAATTATCCTTGAATATTTAAAAGAAAATGTAGGTGTTAAAAGTAAAGGAGGAAAATGAAAAAGAAATTTATTATTTTTATTTTACTTTATTTTGTTAAAGGTTTTTAAAATTTGTTCTGCATGTTTCATGTAGATTTGAAATAAAAACTTGGAAAGTATAAAAGGTTTTCAAAGAATAATATTTATTGAGAAATAAATTTATTCATGATACATATGAAAATTTTTTATATTCAATTGTGAACATAATAAGGGAAAAAAAGTAGAGAAACAAACTTATTTAACATTTTCATTAAAGCTATGCATACTTTTGATTCCCTAATTAGTTTGATCTCAATAACTTAAAAATTAAAAAAAGAGAAAATATTGCCTACCAGGAAACATTGCAAAATTGTTAGCAGTTTATAAAAAAATTCATTTGATATGGAATCAGATCAAATTAGTTGCTTAGATGAATTATATTTAAATATTATGTTAATTTATTAATTATATATTTAATTTATTAAATAAATCAAATTATTAAATAAAATATTTAAAAATGCAGTGATTGGGCTGCAATCATCTGAGCGTGTAAACAATAATACTCCTTACAAAAGTTACCCTATAAATGTAAAGGGAATGAATTAACAGTTTTTTACTATTTTGTATTAAATTTATTTTATCAACAGGTTTTAGTTTTCATCTATTAATAAGATTGAAATTGACTGTATAAGTTTTCACCCCAAAACACGTTAGCAACGTTAGCAACGTTCCAAAACACGTTAGCAACGTTAACAACGTTCCAAAACACGTTAGCAACGTAAGCAACGTTAGCAAAGTTAGAAAATTGTATTAATATAATTATTTTCTTCACTATTAGTCTAAACAGTTAGGCATTCACCGCTGATTATGTTCATCGCTGATTATGAGGAAATAGTTAAAGTTCCCCAAAGTTCAACTATTTTTTCTAAATATTAGGTATAGAGCGTTTTTGTGTTCAATCTAGTATTGAAGTCAAGAAACAGAAATATGAAAGTAGGATTTTTTAAAGCATGTGACCTACAATTTTATAAATTCATATTGTCTTTCTCTAACTCCTCTAATAGTTCTTGAGAAGCTTGCAGTGTCTTTATTACTTAATTTTATCAAACTGGTAAATAATTTTTAATTTGAAGAGTTTTTTATCTCAAAAATGATGATTTAAAAAAAAATAATTTTCTCTTTTTATTAAACAATAATAAATTGTGGATGATATAGTGCGATTAAACTCTGTTTGTATCATGTGAATCCAGGTTGGCTCTAAAACATTTTTATTTCATACCTACTATGCCCTAGTCATGCCTCTGAGAAGGGAAAGAACAGTTAAGTTTATTGAGTTTTGTATTAGTTCTACGTATTGCATAAAAAAAATGTAAATCCATTATTGTCCAAAGATTTCGGTAGCTAATTTAAAACCCAAATAATTTTTTTTTTCAATACATTGATTAGGAGAGTTACATAACCTACATTAATAAATTTTATCTTTCTTTTTATCTATCTAATTTATTTTTTCTACCTAGCTACTATGAATCGATTATCAAGGAATCCGTAAAACAATTAATAAAGTTCCCAACAATGGCGTACTTATTTTTATAATTTATATAAACAGTTTTAATGATGCATCTGAGATATCATAATTAAGGGGTATTGGTAGATGATATACCTTTTACTTTTAAATAGTGATATAAACCAACTTATGTTATTTAAAAAATCAATATATACTTAAAAAAAAAATTAATAAACTTTATTTTAGAACTAAGTCTAAAATAAAAACCTTTAGTTAAAGTTACCTGATAAAATAGATAACAAACAAATGAAAAAAAAATTAAAACTAATTTTTGGAAAACTTTGATGATGAAAAGATATCCTGGTTTTAATAAACTATTCGTTTTCAATAAAGTTCAGCAAAATCGTTATAAATGGATGAAATTGAATTAAAACGCATCAAAATAAAATAAATTATTTATCAACTATCTCAACAAACCTGAGTATTTATAAATTTATAATTTATATAAAGAATTTGATCTGTATCCTTTTTTAAAAAATAGGTAAAACCAAAGTTTTAAGCAGCTATGAAAACTAGGAAAAGAAAGTTTTACCATGTTTTTTCAACGCGTCATTAATAATAGACTTTACAATTATTTGACGGAAAACAATTTTTTATACGGTAAACAATATGGATTTAAAAAAAACCACTTAACCGACCATATCTTCTGCTAGTGGTAAGCATACTACTACTTGTAAGCATACAATCTTTTACTATCTTCTACTACTTGTAAGCATACTACTACTTGTAAGTATACGATCTTTTACTATCTTTTACTACTGGTAAGCATACTACTGCTTGTAAGCATACAATTTTTTACTATCTTCTACTACTTGTAAGCATACTACTACTTGTAAGCATACATTTTTTTACTATCTTTTACTACTAGTAAGCATACTATTACTTGTAAGTATACAATCTTTTACTATCTTCTACTACTGGTAAGCATACTACACTTGTAAGCATACAATCTTTTACTATTTTCTACTACAATAGTCGTTTATAATCTTATCGTCTTTGAATCCATTTTATTTTTGTAAATACGTATTATTTGAATTCATTTAAGAACTTTTGAAATAACAAGTAAATATATCTACATAACAAAAAATATTTTCCAGGGATTTAGTAAACACTAAAATAAAACGTTATAATTATTTTTTTAAATTTTATTTATTATAATTATTTACGTTATAAATGATAATTAATTATTTCTATTTTAAAAATAATGGTGTTCCAAAACTAAAAATACCTTTAACACTTGCTTTTTGTTTAGGAACGTTTTTTGAAAATTCCAATGGTTCCTGAAAAAGCAGTTCACTAGATTTCTCCGCACGGAGTGTGTTATATCTTCAGCAAATCAAGTTGAAACATCTTCATAAGTTTTAAAATCAAGTTTTAAAAAGTTACATAACAAATATATTCATTAATTTTATTGTAATTATCATATTTTATTATATCAAATTCAAATGTAACATTTGTTTATTTTTTTTTTTTGCAATCGTTTTATGTGAGTTAAAATTGAGTGCAAGAGTGCAACAAAAAAAACGGTTTGTATACTTTGTTTCCAACCCCTGAATTTATTTAGACAATATTTATGTGCTTGAAGCATGTTAGCTTTGTTGGTTGGTCGAAAACAGAGAAACAATTCAAAGTAATATATATTTCCATGTGTTGTTTTGGTATTATTTGAAAAGTGTTTTATAGAAGTTAGTTTAAAATAATTTTTACTTTTTTTTATTTTTCATAAAAATTTTTTTTTAGGAAAATTTACCCATCCCAATATAAAATTTATACCGATTTAAAATTTTGAATTAAATTGAATTGTAAAATCATCACTAAATTGAATTGTAAAATCATCACTAAATTGTTATTAAAAAAATGCGTTAAATTATAAAAAACATAAGGGAAAAAATAAAAAAGTTTAAAACAGTTTTTTCTTCCTACCTATTTAAAGACAAAGACATTTTTTATATGCAGGTTTGATTGTTGATTAAAAATACCAAGCAAAGTAAAATTTTTTAACGATGCGAAAAACGAATGATATCTAAAATGTTCTCTTTAAAAGAGTTAAAGAATGGTAAATTTTACAGCAATTCTAATCAAATCTCTTACTAGGAATTTGGCTTGGATTTAATAACTTGAAGAGTTTTTCATTAGTGTGTATTTCAGTGTACTTGTCTTTTCACACTAGAAAAAACATTTCTCCATGAGACTGAGTAAATAAAATGAATAACATTATTTGTTAATTTTACTAAGAATATTATTTAAAAAAGCATTCCGAGAATTTTTTGAAGCTTGAAATCTGATCGTAGAGAGATTTGATCTTAGAGAAAAGCATTTGGAGGAGAGTACCGTTCTTCAATTTTTGCTTCTCTCTAAGGCATTTAAACATGACAATAATTAAGTTCAAATTGGTATTTTTGGATATGTGCTGCATATTTTATCAAATAAATTCACTTTGTTCTCAGAGTGAAAAAGATTCTTAATAAAATTTGATAACCATATTAAGTCAATCCCAAGTCTCATAGTTCTAGGTGTCTTATGATGAGGTGTCTTATAATGAGGAGTCTTATGATGAGGCTTACTATACTAGATATTATTCAGAATTTTCAAGAAATTGTTTAATCATTTTTTAATTGTTTTTTCAATTTAAAAGAAGACCAGTCTGGCTCCAAACCTCCAAGACTAGAGGTCAGGATTCCGAGCCACAAGTTTTGAATACTTTGTAGTAGCAAGAGCATTTACGACTTCCATATTTTATTGACTTCGCTTTATTCAAGCATTTTTGATTTTTCTTTTGTACACTCTGGCTAGATATAACGAACTTTAGACGAATTATGTACAATATTTTTAAATAAAATCTTACAGATTTGAAGAAACAAGAAATTTGTTAATCCTTTTATCATTTCAGTTTGCATATTAGTCAACTGTAATTATTATCAATTTTTTTAATATTCTTGTTTAAGGTGCCCCTAGAAAACCTAAAGATCTTGCCACATGCACCGCGGAAGAGCATTTAAATAGGAAATTCACGCCTTCTTCCTAACCGATGGAAGAAAAATATGCCTCGACCTCGATTCAAACCCTAGATCTCTTGCTTCTAAAGTAAGCTAAAGTAAGCAAATTATTAATTCCTAAAAGAAATTAAAAATTGGCAGAATACTGCAGTATACTGCTGGTCACATAACCAGGATCATTTTTACTACCTTAATCTATATAATAATGCCGAACTTAATAATTTTAATAGTGTCCCTTGGAGCGTATTTGACACAAAACCCTTCGCAACCATTGCAATCGAGGAATGTTTGTAGACATATAAACTAGCTTATTTGTAAAAAAGTCGAAAATAATATTTTTAACCTTAAGGTATTTTGAAAAACGGCTGCAGTATGGATGATACAACGAATATGAGATAATTTGACGCAAAATTTAAAAGCTCTTAACAAAAGCCACTAAAAAAAAAAAGTTAAATATAATTGCTTAAAAATGTTATTATAGTGAAAATTTTTATTTTAGTAAATATAGTAATTGTAGTTCAAAGTTTTAAAATTTAAAAATTTATTTAAAAAATCACTTAAAAATTTTATTTTAGTGCGTTGGTTTTTGTAAAGAAACGCTATATAAATCATTTTTTAATTTTAATACAAACTATTTTTTTTTTAACTTAGTTGCGCTTAACCGTCTCTGTATAAACATTTATATAAACATATATGCTATTTGTTTATAGATATATTGTTTATAAAATGTAAATAATCCACTTATATAACGTTTTATTCATGATCGTATAAAATATAAGAAAACTTTTCTAATAATTACAAGTTTTTTTTGCACAAGCTGTTTTGTTTGTATTTTTTGTAGTTATGTTAACATACTTAAAAAAATTGACAAGAATAAAAAAACACGAAACATATTGTCACTTCCGAGTGAGAAATTTGAAACTTCAATTTTAGATTTGCTCCTCTCTCGATAATTTCTGATTTTTAAAGTTGTCATCTGCTTCTTAGACCTTTAAAAATGATAGTGATATAAATAAGATTTTATTTCAATTTTTTATAAAAACTTTATCTATGAAAGATATATGGAATATATTTTTATGGGATATATTCTAATAAAGACAAAAAGGGCCATCCATAAAGGACGTCATCCAAATAGGGAGAGAGGAGAGGGGTTCGAGATAAAAAGGACAAATAAGAATAAGGAGAGAGGGGAGTATGTCAGAAAAGGATGTCACTTTATAGATTTTTTATTTTAGTTTAATTAACATGAAAAAATATGTAAATATGTGTTTTTAAGAAGATAATGTATAAGAATACTTTTAATTTTATTTTTCAAAAGTGTAGCAGCAGATTCAAACATCATTGGGAGATCAGATAATTTTTTGGGGGTTTAATTTGGTGGGAGGGGGGGCAGAATTTTACGACGTCCTTTTTAAGGAGGTATAGGGAAAAAGAACAACCGGTGATAAAGGGGGGAGGGGGTCAAAAATTGGCTAAAAATGATGACGTCCTTTACGGATGGCTCCAAAACTATTTATTTATTACTGTTGTAATAAATACAATCTCTTATCCGTGAAAATGATATATCTGCAACATAATAAATATTAATAAAAAAAATGTAAAGGAAACTTGACGCATAAAGGTTTATTTTGCCACAAACTGACGTCAATGCGCAAAATATTTTTGGCTTAACTTTTAGATTAGCAATTAACAATATTCTTTAGTTCTTAATCATAATCATAAGAATGGATTTTTTAAAATGACTATGTTTTAGTGCTCTAAGATCTTCTTAGTTCCATTTGTATAACGTTACATACAAACGTCTGTAAGTGTAATTGTCTTTAGCATTTGTTTAGTTTCCAGGTATTATATGGAATAATTGCGTCTATCTATATATCTACAAAATGAGAAAACTTTGAAATATATATATTATTATTTTTTTGTTATAAATATATAAGCAAAATTGAAAAAATTTCAAAACTTATTACGCTAAGAGGAGGTCTTAAACCCTCCAAAACAACACTGATGACAGCGCGCTTAATCACTGAGCTATCAACGAAATGCATTTAGCAGAAAAACAAAGCTAATTATAAGTATCTTATAAGCTCTTCATCTGCGGAAAAGGTGCGCATGTTTAGTTTTTTGCTCTTAAATTTTTTTTTAGAATAAATTATTTTACTAAAAAATATTGAAGTAAATAAGGAATAGGTATAGAAATTTTCGGCTAGAAATAGACATGTAAATTGGTAAAGACCTGTATTTTACGGATTCGGAAAACTAGAATATATAAGGAAAAAGTATATAAATATAAATCGGTTTGGAATAGATATACAAAGATCCATATTTTTACGGAGCCGATCTCAGCTAGTATCTTATTATTATAATAATTTAATAGATTGTTAAAAATTATTATGTTTATTTTGGCTTTGCAAAAGAAATACATTAAAGTTCTTTGAGATTATCTTAACATAAATTTTACCAGCCAGATCATCACAGAGGAATTTACACACCACATTACCATCACACACGAATTGCAACACAATAAAATCACAGGGGAATTTATGCCACATTGCTATCACAAGGGAATTTCTCAGTGGGCATAGGGCTTAAAAAAAAAGACGTCTTTTAAATGCTTTGGATGCCATTTGGAAGTTTCAAAGATGTCTTTTTAAGGTCTTGTTACCAAAAGCATTTGATAGTTGATCATTTTTTCAGAAAAAATAAATCTCTACGAATACGGAATGATAATAAAAACATATGAGTATATTAAAAGATCGCTGAACGAACACAATGCGTTATTAATAATCATAGAGATAAGTTATTTATATTAATAAGGAGAATTAAAAACTATGTGTGGAATTCCACAAGGGTTAAATCTTGGTTCGCTACAGTTCTTGATTTATGTTAACGATTTTAAAAATGCATCAGTAATGTTAAACTGAATAATGTTTGCTGAAAGCAAATAAAGCAAAAAATTTAAATGAGTGGCTCTGCTAAATGTTTATAGCGTTTGCTTCGAAATCAAGAAATCCAAGATTCAACGTTTTGAAATTATTCGCTACTTCGTTAAAAAAGATAGCGTAAACTTTCTCGTTATAGGCTCTTTCACGGTGCATGTGCCGTGACTGCCGTGACTAGTAGGTTAGAGTCCCCCGTCTCTCCTTTAAAAAAAAACAAAAACCTTTTATTAGGATTCCAATTTATTTAAAAAAAAAAAATTATAACGTTCCTTAAATTTCTAAAAGGGTCCCTAAATTTGAAAATGGGCCCCTTAAAATTTGCCTGACTCCCCAATTGAGTTGCGTGGGGTAGCCCAGCCACGGCTCTACTTGTTACAAATCCGTAAAGACGTCTTGGAAAACATAATGATAGCTAAATAATTTTTTTTAGTTTTTACTTTTGCATCTTAATTCTTTACTATTTTATGTTTACTTTATTCTTTATGATAATGGAGGTTCTAAATATATTAGGTTGATGATTGCTAAATTTATATAGATCTTGCTATTTACTTTTATTAATTAACTGCACATATTTATAAAGGGTTTTATTCTTTGTTTTATATCAAAGTTGTACATAGAAATTTTACCAATTATATTTTATTTCTACTTGCTTATTCTTCATAAGAGCTCTATAATTGATTGCAGTCACTTTTGTCACTCATATCTTCTATAAGCCTTTAACATTATCAAACATTTCTTGAAACAAACGTTCTGGAATTTTAGTTCCAATATTTTTGATACTTACTTTCTAAAACAAGACGCTGATTTGCTTATTTACAAACAGTATATACAAACAAACTCAACTTAATATTGGCTCTGTCCTTTTATTAGCAGCAATTTTAAAAAGTAGACGTTTGTGAATGCTTTATTTTTTATTTTTCTGCTACAGAAAAAAATTTCCAAAAACTTCAGTAAAAACGAACTTTTGAACACCAGTTAGTAAGAAAGTAAATAAGCCTCTGATGATTACTCATTACGCTCGATTCTAATGTACATTTCTTAATTTATGCTTGACCTTTATCTCAAGCACTATTTTTCAATTTTTTTTTCTTAAAACAAGCACCTTTAAAATTTGATTGAAATTGATCTTGCGATGATTTAAATTTGATACTAAATTTCGTCCGCCATGACTTACTTATTTCTAGTGTTTTTTTCTATATGCAAAACCGATTAAAAGTGTTGAATTAAATGTTTTAATCTCCGTAAATTTTCTTTAAAATCTTTAAAATTGCGTTGGGTTATTTGTGAACTCACGAAATAATTTTTTTTTGCCAAAAACCCATAGTTTGCTCAAAATATTTCTGCTTTTATCAGCGCTACGCTGCTATATCAAATTATCAGCGCACCCTACGGTGATAAAAAAAAGAAACCAACGCAATATATCAAAACAAAATTCTCACAACTTTTTTTGAGGATAAATTATTTCCATCACTAAACTTTAGAAACTCATTGTGCAGTTAAAAAAAAAGCGTCGAAGAATTTGTTTAAAGCATAAAAAAATTATTATTATTTTTTTCAGTTTTTAAAACTGAGGTAGTGGCAAGAAAGCGGTTTCGCCAAAACCCTCTGATTGCTTGGAAGGGGGTATTTGATATTGAAAAGGATCTCACTTCTGCTAAAGCATAGAGTTCTTTGTAGTTTGTAAACTTTAAATCAGATAAAACTCAAATTGTTTCAGCAAATTGCTGTCGCAACAATCTAGATCTGTCTATATTTATGAACGGTTATGTACTCGATGAGCCACCTCTCCTTTGTTTTCTAGGATTAACTCTTACATCCGATCATTCTTGGAAATAATAAATCAAATCTATTGGAAAAATGCTATTTGCTAAGGTTTGCATATCTTTATCTTTCTTACTCCGGATTCTATTCTTTATCCTTATAAATCTCTAATCCGTCCTTGTAAGCAATACTGTTGCCATATCTGGAGCAGATCTTTGAATTATGCCCTTTCTCTTTTAGACAAGGTGATAAAACGCGTAGTAAACATAGTTAGACCGCCTCTTGCAGCCAACCTTCAAAAACTGTTACATTGTTGTTATTTTGCTTCTCTTTCTCTTTTCTATAAATACTATAATAGGCGCTACTCTTAAAAGCTAACGTCTTAAGTGTCACCTACAAAAGTTCATTCTCGTGTTACACGTCATTCAATTAAGTTTCATTTCTTAAACATCACTTTAGAATTCGCTCCCTTTATCTTGTTTTCCTATTTCATATAACTTGCAACTTTTTAAGTTGTCTGTTTATCATTACATTCCTTTGTAAACTTCATCGTTCCTTTTCCAGTAACTTCTAACTCTAATTGTAGTTGCTGGCAGCCTTGTTGGAAGTGAAGATGTTTAAAAAAACAAAAACAAACAAAAAAAACTATCCGTTTTACATTGGTTACAAGTGAGGCATTTTTACTATGAGTATTCTACCAATCTCTTAGCCGTAGTAATTACTTTTAAGTTCCTATATCTTCAAAAATATCATATGACAAAATATATAGTAACAATTTTTAACAGATTAAACTATAATTCAAATAATAAAAAAATATAGAAATCCGACGCACCATCGAATCTTTTAATACGATTTATAGCGATGAATTACCTTTTTACTGTAATACCTTCTCAATAAGTCTTCAAATATAAAAGTCTGTTATCTATACAATAATGTAATATTATATACAATGTTATTCTGCAATTGATAAAACCAATACCACGAATAATGCTAATATTATACAATATTATATATGTAAGAGAAGGCGGTGCAAGATGACTTATTATGCGATTTCTGACTCCAGTTTTATAGAAATTTAAAAACTACCAATTAATCTTACTTAAGAACACAAAATAAAAACTCTTCGCAAAAAAAATTTCTAAAACGTTACACCCGAAGGACACCATTCGTAAGGAATAACCAAAAGCAAGGATTTTTTTTTAAAGCGCAAAAAGTGAACTTTGGCGTTTAAAACTGCGTTAGTAGTATTTAAAAAAAACAATTGGTGTTTTAAATACAAAATGTAAATACAGTTTCGTTTTCAATCATTTTTAAGTTTTTTTATTGAGTTGCAATATGAAAAGCCATCTTGCTCTATTCGCCATCTTACCACATTTTCCCCTATTTAACATGTTATATATGTATTATAATACTAATATATATATTATATATTAATAATACATAATTACATACGTTTATGAGAATGAAAGAACATCTTACAAAAAGCTTAAAAAAAAAGATAAAAATTTTGTTAATCGATGTTCCACTTAAATTGCTAAATGAAGATTTCGTTTTTTAGGGACATTAAAAATGGCAGAATCAAAAGAGATTTCAACAATTGCTTTTTCTTTTTGATGAGAGATAGCTAAAACGGATTTTTCTTTTCCATAAGAGCAGCGCATGACTTTTTTTATAACACATAATTATTCTTAAAGTTCTATTTAAAATATTTTTGTTGTGGAAGTCTGGTAATCATGAAAACAAATAAAAAACCAATTTTATTAAACTAACATGCGCTGTAATTATTTTTAGGTTATTTTAAACTTTAAGGAATATTTTACCATATATAAAAATTTAACATTAATAAACTGTAAAATAAAAGTTTTTAATTATTTTTTTCTAGTTATACCTATGATTTAAAACGATTAATGTCCAGTTTACTTAATCTGTTTAATGATTCAAAACCAACTTTAAACAATTTCTGGACATGCAATTAGTATTGTTCAGAGAAGTGATAAATTACTTAACTATTCAGTATGTTATAATACCCCGTGAGAATGTTTATTTAAATTTAAATCAGGCAGAACCTGAGAACTTTTATAAAGAAACGTTACACGATTAAATGGTTGCAATTTGTATTTACTTGTTATATTTATATAATTTTAGTGTCTACTAATCTTAAAGTCTCAAACTTTTTTACAAAAATTTAGAACGTCGAATTTCATGAAAACTAAAATTCTGCATCTGTTTTATTGGCAAGAATGCAGTCCCAAGTTAATAAGGATAAAGTTTATGAAGAACTTGATTTGACCCAAGAAGGTTTGACAGAGGAAGAAATTTTAAGACGAAAAACAAGATTGTTTGTCGGTGGATTAAAGTTTACGTCGGAGGATCGAGTGTTAGAGGAATATTTCTCTAAGTTTGGAGACATCAAAGAAGCCATAATCATAAGAGATCGCAATAACGGATGTTCTAAAGGATACGGGTTTGTAAGTGCGTCAATATACTTTAAACTAGTATATCGACGAAATAATGCTTATCTTATTGTATAAAACCTATTTCAAGTTCAAGACATTGACTAATTTTTTGGTTACTTTCAGATGGTTTCAGAGCACATTACCAGACTCTCTTCAAGGGATTTTCATTAGGTTTTGTTTATGAAAGATTTCCTTATTGATGAATGAAAGAATTCTATGCTATAATATAAATAATGTCCACAATAAAATTCTAAAAATTTGGTGAGCATCATCCCAGTAATACTTATTAATATATTAAATACTTATTAACACATTTTTTAGACGTGTTAAACACGTCTTATGTTTTATAAGATTATGTTTACGTAATATTTCAAATATCATTTTTTTTGGACGTTATTCAATATTCAATATTCATTAAAGAAGTCTTTTGTTTATTTATATGTCTTTTATTAAAAAACAAATGGAAATTAAGTCCTCTTAGAGTTTCTGCTAATGTGTTCTAAAATCGCATATTATAGAGACAAACAAATCAGCCAAAATATGAATTCCTAAAGAATTTAGTTTTGTCCAATAAGTTACCACTATAATAAAATAAAAATAGAAATTTGCCGATAAGTATCGATAAAAAAAACCTTTCGGCATATGTCAATAAAAAAATTAGTAAACATAAAATTTTATAAAAAGCTTATAAATAAAAAAAAAGGTAGTTACAAAAAAAGAAAAAAACATCAATAGTACAAAGTATGGTAACGTTTATATTAATTTTATATAAAAAAATTACATTTAAGGAAGTATAGCATTTTTTTTTTTTATTGTTTCAGCAAATAAAATAACTTTAAATTTTACTCTCATATAAGAATTAATCGAAAGGAAAAGAACAAAATAGACTCCCTAGAAAGTCTAGAATAAGATTTTTATTCATCCAAGTTTTCATTAGGTTATCATTTTCATTTATAGAGCTCCATATTTATGTAAAATAAGGTAAATACCAAAAAATTTTTCTAGTTTAGCTTCAACTCGGTTCATTGCGCGAGTAGAACAAAAGGGATTAAGTGATCGAATATGATGGGACAGAATGTCATCCAACCACTTATAGTATATTATATATGTAAAATACTTTAATGTCATTTTTTTTTTAATTTGTTTTAATTTTATTTATTAAACATTAAGAGGATAGTATGGAAAAATGAACAATATAGAAATAATAAAATATATAAATATGGAAAATGATTCCACTTTTTTATTATTATTATTTATTATTAAAATATATAAATATGGAAAATGAGTCCACTTTTTTAAGAAACCCATATAATGGCTTAATTGCAATTAATGGCTTAACTACCATGCAAGAGTATATATATATATATATATATATATATATATATATATATATATATATATATATATATATATATATATATATATATATATATATATATATATATATATATATATATATATATATATATATATATATATATATATATATATATATATATATATATATATATTTATATATATATATATATATATATATATATATATATATATATATATATATATATATATATATATATATATATATATGTATATATATATATATATATATATATATATGTATATATATATTTATAAATATATATATGTATATATATATATATATATATATATATATATATATATATATATATATATATATATATATATATATACATATGTATCTATATATTAATAAATATATATACATATATATATATATATATATATATATATATATATATATATATATATATATATATATATATATATATATATATATATATATATATATATATAAATATATATATATATATATAAATATATATATATATATATATATATATATATAAATATATATATATATATATATATATATATATATATAATACATATATATATATATACATATATATATACATATATATATATATATATATACATATATATATATATATATATATATATATATATATATATATATATATATATATATATAAATATATATATATATAAATATATATATATATATATATATATATATAAATATATATATATATATATATATATATATATATATATAATACATATATATATATATACATATATATATATATATATATATATATATATATATATATATATATATATATATATATATATATATATTAATATATATATATATATATATATATATATATATATATATATATATATATATATATATATATATATATATATATATATATATATATATATATATATATATATATATGGTTAGAATTCAATAAATATCGGCTGCGTATAAACTTTTTTTTAAATATATATATATTTTTTCTTTAATATATAATTTCTGAAAAAAAAAAGTATATATATTTAAAAAAAAAATTTATACGCAGCCGTATTTATTGAATTCTAACCATATTTTAACGTATAACAAGAAAATGATATTCAAAGATTATATAAATATATATATATATATATATATATATATATATATATATATATATATATATATATATATATATATATAAATATATATATATATATATATATATATATATATATATATATATATATATATATATATATATATATATATATATATATATATATATATACAGGGTGGCCCAGAAGTCACTTTACATTTTAAAAATTAAATAACTTTTTCTTAAATGACTGTATTTAATTAATTCTTTTCTATTACAAAGCTTAGAGTGTTTAAGTTAGTTCTGACTTAGTCACGAAAGATAATGTCTCTTAAATAGCCTCCATTCTCGTCTTCACAAAGTCGAGCTCTTTCTAAGCTATTCTCCATGACACTTCTTAACATCTGAGGTTGTAGGGAAAGAATTTCCTGTCGTATGTTTGCCTTAATTTCTTGAATAGTTCGGGGCTTATTTGCATACACTTTGTCTTTAAGATATCCCCAAAGCCAAAAGTCCGGAGCTGTCAAATCAGGAGAACGTGGAGGCCATTCAAAATCGGAATTAAGAGAGACTATCCAATCCTGAAACATTGCAGTTAACAACTGCATTGTGGCTCTAGCAGTATGTGCAGTTGCTCCATCTTGTTGCCACCAATACCCTGCCATGTTTACTAACTGAGGTTGAACAAAATTCACTAACATGTCTCGATATTTCTCAGCAGTTACAGTCACAGCATTTTCATTTTCATCTTCAAAAGAAGAAGGGCCCAATAACCCTTTCTGATGTTACTCCACACCATGTTGTGACTTTAACCGGGTGCAATGGACTCGCATGAACTTGGCGTGGATTTTCGGAGCCCCAGAATCTGATATTTTGCTTATTCACATGTCCATTCAAATGGAAATGAGCTTCATCTCCCATGATCAACTTGTGAATAAACTCATTGTCATTTCTTGCAGTTCTCTGAAACCTGACAGCATAATTTAGTCGTTTCTGAAAGTCTGCTGGTTTTAAAGATTGCACTAATTGAACCTTGTAAGGGTACATGTGCAAGTCTCTTTGAATGCGCTGCAGAGAACTCCGTGAGATGCCAAGTTCTTGAGAACGCCTTCGAGTGGATGTGGTTGGGTTCTCTTCAATGCTACGGCTCACAGCTTCAGTATTTTCACGTGTACGTACTGAACGACCTCGTCCACTTCTAGTTGTATCACTTACAGAGCCATGCTCTTGAAAACGCGTCACTAAGTTCCTTATTGCAGGCCTACTAGGGGGATGTCGAACATTAAAATGGCGCATATACGATCTTTGCGTTGCAACAATTGACCGTCCATTTTCAAAGTAAAATTCAATTATCTTCACTTGTTGTTCTGTTGTAAACTTATCCATGCCAAAAATTTCCAAGGATTATATTTTTTAATTCTGAAAAGAGAAAAAGAAATATATTAATAGAAAAAAAGTTATTTAATTTTCAAAATGTAAAGTGACTTCTGGGCCACCCTGTATAAAAGGCATGGAACAAATTTTAAACACTTATAAGCTTATAATTATGTCAAATAATGGAAAGATATTTAACAAAAAATTGTAATGTGAGCTTCGGAACAAAAAAGCTCTAAAGTTATGGCCACATCTGCTCAAACGTAAGAGCAACATGTTGATAAAATATTTAAAGTAAAATTCTTTAAAAATTAATAATCATCGATAAGTTTTAAATTTCATGCATTCATTTCTTAGCATTCAAAAGTTATGAAATTTGAAACCCTCAATAATTAAGAGGGGTTCAACTTTTATAAAGTTATCATTTTTAAACGCGAAAAAGATTATTGTACCAAACTTAAAACTTATCGAGAAACATAAATTTATTAAATAATATTATTATTTTCATTATAAAATATTATATTATCCGACTAGTTGCTCTCACGTTTGGGGCAGTTGTGGCCTAAATTTTAGGGCTTTTTGGTTCTCAGACTCCTATCATCGCATTTTTTTTACAAAGCATTTTTATTTAACCTGATATAAACATATATATGTTTGGAGCTTGTTTCATTTCTGGCAGTTAGCTATCTGAAATATATTTTTTTCTTCATAACTTTGTTGTTTAAATAAAAATGATAACTTTTATCTGCGTAATAGTGCGTTGACAGTATATAAGGCTATCCCAGCTAACATTTTACGTATGTAAAGCCATAAACCGACGCAACTAAAAACAGCTTGCATAGTTGCACATTGGTTCAATGTATGTAAACTTTGGACCAATGTAACTTTCAAAATAAGCAACTTTTTCAATGTAAACATCGCAAAAGTTGATTGTTTTTACAATTTAAACATATTAAATTATTGATATCTAACAAGTTTAAATAATTTAAATATATATATTAAATAATTATTCACAAATTTTTAAACTGTATAATATATAACTAGAATTTATAAACTGCAAATAACTTATTAATTATTAAATATTTATTAAATTATTTAAATTTATTTATTAAATGAGTAAAATAATTCACAAAATAATTTCTGAGAATGGCTATTAAATACAATTTTTAAGGTAACCATGAGAACTCACGAGAGTTCGTTAAAAGCAACAATTAACAAATCACCCAAATTGGACGGACGAAAATGTAACGTAAATTTTGCTTATATTGGAGAAAAGAAAAAAAAAAGTAAGTTAATGGTTTAATTATTATTTTTATTTATTACTTAAGCAAATAGGATACTATTTTTATTACTTAAGCAAATAGGATACTATTTTTATTTATGTGACGGATACGTGTGTGTTGTTTTGATAAAGGCGCTTATTTAGTGCAGTGTGAAGTGTTATAAATTATAGAATAAAGTAATTTATTTTTCACATTTAAATTTTTATTTCTTAAGTATTTAAATTCTCTCCATTAATAATATTTATGAATCCATGATTAAAAGCTCACACCTAAACATATTTTTATAATTTATAATGATATTATATAACGACATTATACAATGATGTCAATTTTGCTATTAATTTTGTATTGTTCAATAAAATCTGCTAGATTTTATTGAACAATACAAAATTAATAGCAATTAATTTTGTATTGTATAATAGACTTTTTATTGTTGTTGATTTTGCGCTTACAGTAAAAGACATGAGCAATGTGAATGACCACTTCATTGCTTCAATGATGTCGTATTTGGGTTTTTTAGTGCCTTCTTTCAATTTGATTAACTCTAACTATTTTATAGTGGTTTGCATACATTTTGAAAAGGTGTAGTACTTTTTCTGGAAGGTCATTTATGTAGTAGATGAGACTCGAGAACAGATTCTAGTGGCACACGACTAGAGATTGTTTTACATTCAGATTTGATATTACTAAGAATTTCAAATTGTAGGCGGTTGGTTGGCCAGCTCTCAATCCATTTGTGCAAGGTATCAATCGCCCCAATCAATTCCAGCTTGTACAGTAAACGACGGTGCAAAAATGATGTCGGTTAGGTGACCTTTGTGAGCAGCTTCTTTCAGGATGTCACGAGTTTTGAGTAGGTTAGGGAGGCAACTTTTTCCATTTCGGAATCCATTTTAAACAGAGCTGAAGAGTTTATATGTTGTCAGGTGATCAGTGATGTGTCCGTGGATAATACCACCGACCTATCTCACGCACTTCTGTCTCAATGTAAGAGACAAAAGTGCGTGAGATAGGTTGGTAGTTTTAAAGGTTCGACTTACAGCCTTTTTTGAAGATGGAAATGATTTCAACTTTCTTCTATTGTGACGGTACTTTACCGGATTCAAGCGATTTAAAAATTATGATGCTGAGTAGAATAGCAAAGCTTACCGCACAGTAATTAAAAACGCGTAGATGAATGTTGAATCCTATTGATTTTGTTTTGATTAGATACGAAAGTTTTTCTTTGAAAGTCTTGTATGTTGTGAAGGTTTTGATTAGATGCAAAAGATTTTTTGATTAGATACGAAAAATTTTGCTTAGATACGAAAGTTTTTCTCTGACAGCCTTGTATATTGTGAAGGTTTTCGGTTGATACATGTTAGTGGAGTGAAGGTTGAATATTGGGAAAGGTTCTAACAGCTCGGTTTTGGAGACTGATTGAAAATAATCATTTAGTGTGTTGTAGATTACTTTAGGGTCTGTTGTTGTTTGATTGCTTGTTGTTTCAAGTTGATGAACGTGGTTGTGTATTTTTTGCATACTCTTATCGTATAAGTGGATAAGTTTTAAGTCTTGCCGTCTATTTTTGACCAGTTCTGCTTTATATACAAAAGCTGCAGCTTTTACTAGCTTTTTTACTATTTAACTTGCATTTTTGTGTTGCCATATTTAAAAAACAAGATTTTTTACAGCCCATTATAAACTACAACAAATGCATAAGTTTTTACATAAATATTATTTTTAAAGTCAAGTTTAGAGAATAGCTGTCTTACTTGCAGCACTTTCTTTTATTTAGGAAGTAATATGGCTAATGGCTTTATTTTTCATTTTTTTAGTTTTATAGAAAATGTCTCATTTTGTGTATTTTGAAAATCATTTTCAAATAAGTGCATAAAAATTACACAATTAAAGCATTTTGTATCATTAAGGTGGTAGGGATGCAAATAAGCTACTTTCTGAATTTCGTCAATGCAACATTTTTTAGTTTAGGGGTCGTCCATAAATTACGTCACGCAATTTTTGACCCCCCTCGTCACAAAATCGTAACACTTAAGAAGCGAGTTGTCACAAAACCACCAACCCCCTCCCCTCTTATAGCGTGACGTAATTTATGGACGACCCCTTATTAAAACTGTTAAATACATTAAGAGAAATAGTTTGCAAAAAAAAAAAAAATTATTTTTAAACAGAAAATCCATAATTGCGGAAAGTTTGTTAATTTTAACCCTTACAAATGATGTTTTTAAAACATGGTATCTTGATAAAGCAAAAGAAAAATTGAAAATCCTTTTGTCCATATGCCTATTATTATATTATACTCCGGATGACCCTTAGGATTTGCATAAATCCTTTTACTCTAAGAGTTTTTTAAGTTTTTGTGAAAATACTACTTTTTTTCAGCAAATATTCATACAAATTTTCACCTAAACTGAATTTTCTTAAGGTAATAAGTGTTTCATGTAAAATCCATAGTTCATCCGGAGTATTAGATCATATTAAACACAAATTGAAAATTTCAAGTCAAATTTCAAGAGTTATCATGATTTGAGTTATGGCAAGTATGCAAAAAATTAAAAACAGAGAAAAATGCAAAACAAAAATTAAATGTTAAAAAAATAAGTATAAATAAATAATCTCCTCAGTAAGCACCAGTTTGATATGAATCTACAGATTCTTTTTCATTCATTTTATCAAAAAATCCTTTTTTTCTGGCTCGCAATCTTTTTCTATGCTTTTTCTCTGCAGTAGTGAACTTCTTTTCCATTCGCCTAATGCGTGAATTATCTAAATTTGTTGCAGTTGCCTTTGAAATTTGCCCTTTCAAACCAAAGTGTTCTAAAACCTTCAATATTCCTTTGCGTCCATCATTAGAATGAATAATAGCTGAATTTACACCCATTTTTATGGTTTCTCTGCCAACAAATACAGTTTTTGGTAACCTTGACCATATGAGTCCATTTAAGGCCTCATTTGCATTCTGGGTTTTTCCATGCACACATTTTTTTAACAAATCTTCATCCATTAAATCCTTAAAAATCGGTCGAAGAAGACTCTTTATCCAAAAAGGGATTGTATTGGAGGGTTTATAATCCTTTTGGCCCTTGGACCCTTATTTGACAGTGGTGATCAATTTTCCATAAATCATATTCAAGTGAACCTTTTATTCTCCCACATTTTGCATCCAAAGCAGTGCTTTGACTTTACTACCATATCCAAACACTTATCACCTGATATCGCAGTTACTACCTCGTGCAAAGAGGCATGTCCTCTTTTTTGCCAGGAACCGTCAATGGAAACACATACACATTTTATGTTATCTGCTAAATCTATTTTTTGATCTTCTTCAGCAGCACGTTCCATACTACTCTCTGCAACATTTTTGTAGGCTGTCATTAATTTCTTGTTCAACAGTTTAAAAGAGAATGATGCCATGGACTTCAAGTTCATGATAGAGGAAAATTTCTGCATAGATAAAAATCCACAACCTATTTCCTGAAAACCAATTACAGCTCGGGCATTTACATCAAATGTGTTGCGACCTCTAAAATCACTTTTTAGATTGTAGGAAGTCTTAGGAGATGTATAAAAAGGTTTCATCCAATCACATATTGAACATTTTATAAGAATACAATGTGCAAAACCCATTCGCTTTAAATGTTGATCAATAACAACAACGTCAGCAGCACAATCAGGATATTTATTAACACATTAAAATGAAGAAATAAGAAAAAGTCTTCAATATTATCAACCAAACCCTCTGAGTTAGACTGATCAACAGTATAAGAAATCTTTTTTGCTGAGGATGATTGAAGGGATTCGCCAATAACACAAGGTGTCACAGTAAACTTTGGTCGTTTTGAAACAATACCATTCCATTTTCTTTTTTTGCTTCAAGAAAATTTTTTTTTGATGTGTTCTTTATATTCTTATTTTTACTACTATCTTCATGAAATTCCATTGTATTAATTATTAAAACAATCTAAATTCAAAGACATACGGTTCTCTAAAGAACAAATTTTTGTAAATAATATAAAGTATAAAATGTTCAATCAGCTTATTTATCTGTCTGAGTAACGTTTGTGACTTCAAAATATGATATTTAGACCGCTAAAGATTGCAGATACATCCTTGTGAATGTACTGAGTAAAATAATGCACATATTATGATAGGAAAATAAAGAATAAACTTCTGTTTACGGTAACTAGGTACTTTGCTATGGACTCTGATGTTACCTCACAGTGTTTTAAAGTGTAAGTATGGACCAAGAAATATTTTTTATTGTTCCCAATGTTAGTTGCATGAAAATAGACATATCAAAGGGTGAAAATCTACCATAAAAAAAAATTTCACAAATTTTTTTTTTTCGATCATTATTTGCATCCTTACCACCTTAATGCGATCACGTGTTCATATTTTATTGATTGGATTAAACTAAACAACCGTAAGTTATACGTTTAATACAATAGGATTTAAAATGCAAGTGATGATGTAAACTTAAGTTAGTGTAAAAATGATGCTACATTGCAAAATAACTCGAAGATTCCAAGATGCATCTTTTCCAATGTAAATTAATAATAAAACCAACAAGTTGCTGAAGAAATAAAGCTCAGTATAAAAAAGTATAAATACAACCATAAAACTTGAAAATAACAATTTATTGAGTAATTTTTTTTTTTTAACATTTTATTTTGCCGTTGAATAAGTATTACAGCTTACATAAATTTACAAATAAGCTGATGGCCGGAGCAAGAAGAAGGCATTAATTTGCCTTATCGCCGAGCACCGGGTTACAATTTATAGTTTTTTACAAAGTTATTGAAGAATATATAGTATAAAAGAAAAATATTATAAATTAATAAGGATAAATTAATTAAGATAAATTAATTAAGATAAATTAATTAAGATAAATTAATTAAGATAAATTAATTAAGATAAATTAATTAAGATAAATTAATTAAGATAAATTAATTAAGATAAATTAATTAAGATAAATTAATTAAGATAAATTAATTAAGATAAATTAATTAAGATAAATTGATAAAAAAGTTAGTAGTTTGATGCACCTTAGTTTTAAGTTTTTTTTAATAAGTTAATTTGAATGTCACAGATTTTTTTACAATTTTTGTTGATATTTTTATTTATTTAAAAAAGCAATACATTCTAATTGAGGACTTGACGTGTTTCAAAACTAGTTGCCATGATTGGAAGAAAATAATGCCTTGATGGTTTTATGGTTGCCTTAGCTGTTCCAATTTTGGCAACTTTTCCCTTTAACTTGCTTAAAAGTTGGATATTTTGTACTAGTGCTTTTTACATTTTTATCGTAAAAACAATGGATAAAAATAGAAGTAATAAGAGCACCTATTTTTAATTACTTTGGCACTTTGGAAAAAATATTTTGCATATGACATATTTAGTTTCTGTAGTCTTAACTGTACCTTAGGAATCAGGGACTACACATGATCTAGGGCCTCTCTTTCGTTAATTATTTTTTTCTAAATATAATTAATCATTGCAAGTTTGTATATATATATATATATATATATATATATATATATATATATATATATATATATATATATATATATATATATATATATATGTATATATATATATATATATATATATATATATATATATATATATATATATATATATATATATATAACTATTGGTTTATGTATAACTATTAGATTATATTTACGGTTCACGCGTTATAATTTTATTTATTTATCTTTCATACATTTATGTTTTTTATATCAAAACCACAAAATGTACGTTACAACAATAAAATAGTAAGACTGTATACATTTATAATAGATGAATTACTAACATTTATTATGTTTGGATTTTAGAAATAACTTATTTTTAAGTATTCAAAAATATGACATCATTTTTGCTTTTGTTTTTATAAAATTTATATTTATAGTTTTGTTCTAATTGCGTTTACTACACCTTTTAGTGAAAGAAAAATTGAACTCTTCAAATCAAATGCAAATATTCAATCATTACAGGTATACATTTTTTTTAGTAGAGGTTTTTATACAAACCATTTTATAAATTGCAGTCGTATTCTTATAGACATATTTTTTTTATCAAAGGAGTGTAGGGCAGAGATGCTTACTGTATCATGTTTCAATCATTTAACACACTATTGTTTAAGTTGAAATAGTGTCTTAAATCTGCATTAGTTTTAAATATTGTACATTATATAAAACAATAGCAAAAGTCTATCATTCTGCAATTTCTAAATACTTATACAAAAAATGTTTTATCTCTTATGTCAAATGAATTAAGAAGTATTGCCTGCCAAAATGATTAAGCATAAAGGTATCATATTTAATTACAAGAAATCACGTTTCTTACAATCTGAACATAAATACATTTCTAAGATTTTTTTCATTTATAATTTTTACTATACTATTTTAAAAACTATTGAGAAAAATAAAAGCGACCTCAACTATTATAAGTTGTTTTTGCCTAATTTAAATTACTAACCATTTTATTAAATTATTTTATAATATTATTTAGGAATATAGTTATTTCCTGTATCTTCATTAATAAAATTTTGTCATAAGTGTAAATAAATAAAATAAGCCCATTGAATAATCTCTTTAAAATAATCCCCATTAGAGAAATATTTAAAACGTAACTTAATAATAAGCAAAGATATATGAAGACATGCATCTAACTATTCTCAAGATACCATTTGCTGCTATTTTATTCTAAATTTGCTGACAATGCAAAACATGAATTGTCAGCAAATTTTGAATAGCAGAAATCAACTTTTATGCGCCATATTTTAAATATTCACTTGATTTTTCCGAAACTTGAGTATATAAAAAGTAGTTATTTGGAATACGATGTAAAATCTTTTTCTTGTAAAATAACTTTACAGTAAAAAAAATTGTGCATTATCTTCGATATAAGGCTCAGTCATTGTTTAATTTTTTTATCTCTTTGGTATGAGGCTCAGTGATTGTCTGATTTTTATTATCTCTTCGATGCGAGGCTCAGTGATTGTCTGATTTTTTTTATCTCTTCAATATGAGTCTCAGTCGTTTCTGATTTTGCGAATACAAATGTAAAAAAAAAACTAGATTTTAAGTAATTTAATTGCATGGGCAATATCTAGCATTTTATACTTTTCAGGAGACACATAAATTGACTCAACTGTCTCCTCTTTTTTCACAGCGCAATCGCTGAAAAAATTGGAATACAGAGTTGCTTGGTTTTTAAACAGCATTTGCTTCATTCGTTCAAATCTCACAACTATGTTTGTTTGTTTTTTAATAGTAAGGTTTTCATCGTAAACCATGTGATCTTAGCTCATCTACTCTCTTTTTAAGCAATTAAAAGGATCATCTTTATTATATATCATTGTAACCCATTTATATGAGATACATTATATAAAACATATAACATTTCTTAACAATTTTTGTTGATACAGCGTCTCATTATTTTACCAATAAACTGCCAAACAACATTTGCAATATAAAAGATTTTAATAGCCTGATAACTTCTTGTTTCATAAGTTCAGTTTTAGAGGTTGTGTTGGGTGCTAGAAACAATAATTTAGTTACAACTACAGTTGCCTATTAAAAACTGTTATGAAAAGTAAATCAAGTACCTCATTTTATACATTGCTGTCATTTCCTCTATGTACCTCTTTTCTTCCCAAAAAACAAGAAGCTAAGTTATGTCTACATTCAACAATAGTACTTTTTATAGTATCCGTTATGTTAAGATCTTTTGCAAAATTTTAAGCTTTTTTCCTAATAATGTGTCCAACGATTGGTACATTTCGATCACGTGATTTTAATTTAATTTAATATAAGAAATACTTCGATTATACATAAACATTTTTTTAAGTTGAATCTTTCTCTAAATTAAAAAGCGTTTTTTTAAATGAGAGGTTAGCCTATTTTTTCCAAAACCAAGTTTTTTCAACATTCGGGTTCATTATTGAAAAATATACAAATCTAACTTTGTTAATATAAATTAGAAAAATGGTTCATCATCTTTATTTACGATAAAAAAAATTATTGATATTCTAAAAATACGTCGCCGGATAATTTTTATTTTATTTTCAAAAAAAGGTTTATTTTATTTCCTCAAAATGATAAAAGTGTGACTTGGCGCCAATAACAAAAATGTTCATCAACTATGATATATAGGTAATGCAGTGACGGATAAGGACTTTTTGGGGCCGAGACAATTTAATGCAGGAGGTATCTTTCCATGTCATTAATTAAAGATTTTATTTCCAGAGTTTCTTTTACAAAAAACCTGTTATTTTGAATCAGAGCTCCTAAAACTGCTTCGTCCATAGGTTGAGCCCACCCAGCTCCCATAAATCCAGCACTTTGTTAATTTTATCAAAATGCAAAAAAATTCAAAAAATATTTAGTAGAAATTGTCAAGAGTTTTAAAGATAAACTCTTGACAATTTCAATCAAAATCAACAAATGCATGATTTGGTATCAATTAATTATGGAGTTAAAAATGAACCCCAGTTTTATCGATTAATTATGGAGTTAAAAATACATACCATTTTTAACTTAACGTTTTGCTGTGCATCATATATTTACGCATAAAATTTTTGAAATGTAATGGATTAGTATTTTTAAGTTTCCACGAACATCATGCAATCCAGTTAAAAAGCATCCGGTTTAAATAAAATATCAAGACTTAAAAGAAATGATAATTTTTATGCCAAATCAAAAACTTTTGACAACATGTTTAATATATATTTGATATGTGACAACGTGCTTGATATGTTTGATATGTGATAACGTGCTTGATATGTTTGATATGTGACAACGTGCTTGATATGTTTGATATGTGACAACGTGCTTGATATGTTTGATATGTGACAACGTGCTTGAAATGTTTGATATGTGACAACGTGCTTGAAATGTTTGATATGTGACAACGTGCTTGATATGTTTAATATGTGACAACGTGTTTGATATGTTTGATATGTGACAACGTGCTTGACAACGTGATGTTTGTGTTATTGTTATGATACAGGTGTAGGTAAAAAAAAAATGCAAATGTAATTTTAACGTGCCAGTGAAAGAATGGAATGCGTTTTTTAGAAAAAAGCAACGCAAAAATTAACTTGGACTACTTGATTATACTTATACACCTACTTTCATAAATGCGAAACATGAAAATAAAGTTGTAACAAGGCAATAGCAGTTAAATGCGCATAAAATTAATTAGAAAATGACTAAGCATTATTAATGATTCTCTAAACTATATGAGAGTAAAAGAAAAAAAAAATATGCTTGATAAAAAAAAAGTAGATCAAGAAGAACTTTGAGGTGGACTTAAAAATTTAATTGGGAGAAATTGCGCAAATTTAAAATTATACTGTATTGGTTTTTATCGAAGAAAAGTCTATGCAATAAGGGGTTGTCCATAAATTACGTCACGCAATTTTTGACCGTTTTCGAACCCCCCCCCCTCCTCTTGTCACAAAATTGTAACACTTAAGAAGCTAATTTTGAATGAGTCGTCACAAAACCACCACCCCCCCCACCCACCCACCCCCCCCCGTTATAGCGTGACGTAATTTATGGACGACCCCTAACATCTACAGTTAAAGAATATAATATTAAAAAAAGTTAGAGAACCAAACAGAATCAATATGAATAATAACACTTAATGATAAAATTTCTTGCTGCATTGCTAATGAAATTCTTCTTTTAATATTTGAAATTGGTAGTAGTGGTTCTTTAAATGCTATCTTATGTGACGCAACTGATAAAATTAATTGGAACAGAACTTGATACACTAATCCAGTGATTCATTTTTTAACTGTATTTAAAAAAAACTTCCGTTTAAACATGATTTTGAGTTGATTAGTAAAAAAAATCCTGGCCTAGCATCATTTAAGAGAGATACTGGTAAAAAAAATAACAAAAGATATTAACAATTTAGCCGTAGAAAAAATAAAAGATACTTTTCATTTACTTCCTAATAACATCCTCTGTACATGAAGCTCAAATCAAAAATATTGTTACAATTTCTGTTAGATGAACAATTGGGGAGAAAGAGGTTTCGTCATGCTTGTTACTAAAGAGTTACCATATTGTGACGAGGTTTGGGGGGCATGAGGTCTAAAACGGACAAAATGTGCGGAGCCAAAGAATATGGTAAATTGATAAAATTGGGACATAAAGAAAGTTAGTTCCCTACTTTTAATGAAATAATTAAAATAAGGTTAAAAAACCATGACCTTAGTTGAAACAAGTATGCTAAAATTAAAGAAGAAACCTCGATTTCACAAATTTTGCCTCACTTATTCCATATAAATTACACAAAAGTGGGCATCATTTTAAACAAGATATTTCACATTTTCACATTATGTTCCTAAAAACTATGAAGAGGTTTTAAGCTAAAATTTTGCGTTGAAGATGCATCGAACATTCTAAAGGAAACTTTTAATAAATTTATGAAATTTTTTAACAAAAAAAATAAATTAAAATTTTTTTGATACTTATTTGTAATTCTGGTTTATTACCTATTCAAACAATAACAAAAACACCCTTTTAAGTTAACATTTAGTACCAATCTGAAAATATCATCTTTTAAAATTTAATTATTTACTAAAAATGACGTTTTGAGAAGAACACAAAAAACAAACTAAAAGTTTGCTATATTACAAAAAGAAGCAAAAGAAGCTTGAATTTAAAAACAAACGCTAAACATAAAACACATAATAAACAAAAAGCTGTTGTGTTAGAGATGTTGTTGTTTAGAAAATTGAATAAGTTGAGATTTTCTTGTTTAATGATGTGTTGCTATGGGGTTGCTAAGGACTTCAAAAAGCTAATTTGCCTAAAAAAACACACATTTTTACAAAATTATTTACTCATTTTATTGAAAAAAAAATCAAAACATGTTTTAAGAATTAAAAATATCAACATTAAATAAATTAATTTTTTCTAAAAAAAACTTTAAAATTATTGGGGATGTACCACCTAAAGTATTAAATTTTTATGTAACTTATATATTACATATTTTATAGCATTTAAAAAATTTTTGTTATACTTTTTTATTTTTAAAAGTTCATTTTGTGCTAACCTGCTTAAAATTGGTAATATATATAAAGGAAGCGTTTTTTAAGATTATATACGTTATTTAAAAGATCATTTGTATAGCTAAATTATCAGAAATATTTGTGTAGCATAGCTAAATCATTAGAAATATTTGGTATAATACATAATTTAGATGAAAAATGACATTTTTCTATAAAATGCTGTAAAGTCGGATTTTATGTGCGACCTCTGTAAAAGCTAGCGCAGAACTTGAAACTGCAATTCATCCTTTATCTATAAAAACTATACACAATACACTGCTTTTTAAAAAAATTTACCCGCCCTGCAGTGTAATTTTAATGTTTTTGTAATGATTAAAAACAAAGTTTTCTCGTCAAACTTTCTAAACCTCGGGTAAAAATGTCAGACTAAATATCGTCTGTATTATTTGCAGATTTTTTATTTTATTTTAACTTTTAATATTTTTTTCCAATTTTTAAAAAGCAAAGCTTTGTTCATAAAGCGTTTTGCTTTTTCAAATTTTAATTAAAAAAAAAAAAAGTTTTCTGTTATAAAGCGTTATGCTGAGTATAAATTTATTTTTCCTAAGACGTTTTAATATGTTTTAATTTTTTTAACACAAACTTTTTAGCTTAAAGAAACACTTCATTGCACCTTGTACTATAACGTGGTTTACTAACCAATATTATTCAGCCTTACCTGCTTATCAGCAACCAAATCATTATTTTTGTGTAAACACGTTTGAAGAACAGGTAACCATTTTTTAGTGCTTTAAAGAATGCGTAATATAAAGCTTATAAAATAAGAAACACAACATAAAAAAGAGAAGAAAAAACATTTTAAAAATTCAAAACCACAACCAAAGGAAACTTTTTGAAATTATTTACAATATTTGTAAACTTTTGCATTTTGAGTCTGGATTTTTGGGGTTTTTGTGTATAAAAGTGAACATAAATATGTATGTTTCAATTATTATCTATAATAAAAATGTCTTAGTTAAACAATTTCATTCCTAGTATATATATATATATATATATATATATATATATATATATATATATATATATATATATATATATATATATATATATATATATATATATATATATATATATATATATATATACCCAGCGGGCATTTTGACGTCCTAAGAACGTCTGTAAGACGTCTTAAGTCTCGTCCGTAAGACATCCTTAGTTGGTCTCAAATGAAAGGCTTAAGGACGTCTATTCCAGATGTCCTAAAGACGTCTTTTTAAGTCGTCCTAGAGACGTTTTTTTACGTTCTAGAGACATCTCTGGCTGGTCTAATTTTAAAGACTTAAGGACGTCTTTTTCAGACGTCCAAGAGACGTTTAAATTTTACCAAGACATTCTTTTAAAAAATATATAAAAATGCAATGATTTACAACACAAACCTTAGATTTGCCTTAATCTAGGCAAGGGAAGTTATAAAAAGAAATCAATTTAAATAAAGTGTAATTTGATATATTTAAAATAAATTAATAACTTTACAAAAAATAAGAATAATTTTTCAAACAAAGTTACATTTTCAAATTAAAAACTAATAGGTACAGTAGAATATAATCGATAGTGCATTATAAATAGAAGAAAATTACTTAAAAATGGAAAAAAATAAATAAAATACAACAGTTAAGCCATCATTGATCGAAATCCATATTAGTGGATGTTCTCTTTATTCCGTCAGAAGAATGCCTAATTACTTTTCCAATAAGTTGGATGGTATCCATTTTGATAAAGTTTTTATTTGACTTTAAAGCAGCTTCTAATAAAAACAACAAAACATGTTTCAAAAAGATCATTAAAAAAAAATGTCATGTATACATACACTTGAATACATGTCATGTTCCATAGCCAAAGAAATTAAATTTTTTAGCTTACTAATGTGTTTGATTAATTAAAAATTAAAAAACATCATTTTTAATTTTTAATTAATCAAACACATTATTAAGCTAATAAGAATATTCTGACAAAATAGTGTCTGTTGGCAGTCTACATAATAAAAAAGAAGATAAATGCTGTACTGTCAATCATAAATGTTAAAATTCAAACTTTTGCTAATTACTTACAAGAGCAAAATATTTTTAATTGTATCAGCTAGATTTTTACCCCCAATTAATGATAACTGTTTTACCTAAAAAGAAACAATGTATTAGAAACATTGAAAATGTTTATAACAATTTAAAATAAATATTGTAATAATATGTAACATAAAATATAAAGTTGAAACTCATGTATACAAAAGTAATGTATTGGATATCTCCATTTGCGAAATTTTTTTTCAAAACATTAAATTTATCTGAACTTTTACGGTGTTTAAAACCTTCTTCTGGATTATTAGAGAACAGTGCAGTTCTATCTACTAAAATTTTTTTCATTTCAGCAAGTTGGAATATAATTTTTTTCTAAAACTCTGAAAAGTAAAATATATAAGTGAAGCCATATAAATAGTATATAAAATAGTAAATAGTACTTCCTATATATGGTTAAAAAGAGGTAGATTTAAACTGAATAATGCAAAAAATCTCAAGTTTCATGCTTAACCTTAAAAAAATATAGAAACAAGTAAAGTTCAAAAAAATTATAGGGTTTTTGTCTAACGCCAAAAACTGTAAATAATTGCTTCCTATACACAAACGCACACACACACACACACACTCATATATATATTAATATATATATATATATATATATATATATATATATATATATATATATATATATATATATATATATATATATATATATATATATATATATATATATATATATATTGAGGGACCCCTTAAAATATTTTTTATTCAAAAAAAACTTAAACCTAGTGTTTTTGCATTAGATAGAACACATTTAGGGGGTGAGAGCAGATTATTTTCAAAAATGTTGTTTTTTGGGACACTTATATATATATATATTTATATATATATATATATTTATATATATATATATATATATATATATATATATATATATATATATATATATATTTTACATTATTCACCTCCCCAAGGCCCGAGGGGGCCACTACAGTCGAGGAGGCTACTCATTTTTTTGTGTTTTTATTTTTATTTTTTGTTGTATTTCGTGGTACAACCCTCTCTCAACTCTTTAACTCCGAAACACGAACCTTGACAAGCAAGGCCGCTGCGCGGAGAAACTAAGTTGAGCGCGGTACTTCCAGGGACGTGGTGGGAGTCGAACTCCGAACCTCTCGCTTACAAAGCGAGCGCTCTTACCACTACACCACTGCCGCATATATATATATATATATATATATATATATATATATATATATATATATATATATATATATATATATATATATATATATATATATATATATATATATATATATATATATATATATATATATATATATATATATATATAAGTGTCCCAAAAAACAACATTTTTGAAAATAATCTGCTCTCACCCCCTAAATGTGTTCTATCTAATGCAAAAACACTAGGTTTAAGTTTTTTTTGAATAAAAAATATTTTAAGGGGTCCCTCAAGACCCTCAAATATTTAATGGGTTCCTAATATTTTTGAAAAAAAAGTTTTTCAAAAATATGTCAACCTGGTACTCAAATGAAGCGAAATTATATAAAAATTTTAAAAATAATACTCATTTCGAAACACAATTGTTATTTTTGGTTTTATTACATAAAAAATTGCGTTTTTAAAGAAAAAATGAAAAAAATGCATTTCTAAAGTTTTTTTATGATAATTTTGATAAGTTAAAAATATTTCGATATGAATATTATTTTTGAAATATTTATATAATTTCGCTTCATTTGAGTACCAGGTTAACATATTTTTGAAAAACTTTTTTTCGAAAATATTGGGGACCCATTAAATATTTGAAGGTCTTGAGGGACCCCTTAAAATATTTTTTATTCAAAAAAAATTTAAACCTAGTGTTTTTGCATTAGATAGAACACATTTAGGGGGTGAGAGCAGATTATTTTCAAAAATGTTGTTTTGTAGGACACCCTAATATATATATATATATATATATATATATATATATATATATATATATATATATATATATACATACATATATATACATATATAAATATATATATATATATATATATATATATATATATATATATATATATATAAATATGTAAATATATCTATATACATATATAATATATATATATATATATATATATATATATATATATATATATATATATATATATATATATATATATATATATATATATATATATATATATATATATATATATATATATATATATATATATATATATATATATATATATATATATATATATATATCTAAATATGTATATATATCTATATACATATATAATATATATATATATATATATATATATATATATATATATATATATATATATATATATATATATATATATATATATATATATATATATATATATATTATATATGTATATAGATATATATATACATATTTATATATATATATATATATATATATATATATACATATATATATATATATATATATATATATATATATATACATACATATATATATGTATGAGAGTATGTAAATTATTATTTTATAAACATCAATAAATACGATTTTCTCTCAATACTAAATTTATTTTTGATTTTTTATTTTTTAAAAAAAATTTTCGCTGGATTGTTGTGACCAGCGTCTTCAGCTTAAAAGATTTTGTTTGTTTTTGTTTATATGTTATTTTTAAATATATAAAACTAAAGTTTTCGGGCTTAGCAGGTTTTAAGCTCTTTTGTAATCAAATCTTTTGTACCAAGTTTCAGAATTGCAGCATTACTAAAAGCACCATATAAGGGTAATAATAAACAGAAACATTTTTGGCACTTTCAAGAAATAAATCAAGAAATAAATCCAAACTACAAAGGAACAGCCACCCAGGAGTTTACCTTATTAAGTGCCATTGTAACAAAAAGTATATTGGTGAAATAAAAATGCAAATAAAAACACGCATGCAACAACACAAAAACAGTACAATAGGAAATAAAACAGAAAGATCAGCATTAGCCACACACATGAAACATTGTGCACAACAAATTAACAGGGACAGTTGCAGAACTCTAAAAGTCAATAACAAAAAGTTTGATAAAAAAGTTTGATAGGAAAGTTCGTGAGGCGCTTGAAATACAGTACCACCAATGTGCCCCTCAACAAAGTGGTATCAATTTAGATGAGGGACAATATGTGTCAACAAAATTCTGTACACCATTTCTAATGCACTTATGTCAGAAAAAGACGAAACCATTCCATTGACATATAATAAAATTGCCATTTAAAAATAACATATAAACAAAAACAAACAAAATCTTTTAAGCTGAAGACGCTGGTCACAACAATCCAGCGAAAATTTCTTTTAAAAAATAAAGAATAAAAAATAAATTTAGTATTGAGAGAAAATCGTATTTATTGATGTTTATAAAATAATAATTTATATATTTATATATATATATATATATATATATATAAATATATATATATATATATATATACATATATATATATATATATATATATATATATATATATATATATATATATATATATATATATATATATATATATATATATATATATATATATATATATATGTGTGTATGTGTGTGTGTGTGTGTGTGTGTGTAAGTTTGTGCATGTGTGTGTATAAATGTTGATATTTATCAATACACACACATACAAAAGCATATTCATTATATAAATATATATATATATTTATATATATACATATATATATATATATATATATATATATATATATATATATATATATATATATATATATATATATATATATATATATATATATATATATATATATATATAATGAATATGAATGCATCATATAAACATTATAATATAATGTATAAATCATGTATATATAAATAATTATACATCAAATTAAATGAAACAACACAGTAACAAGGTGTCAACATACGTAATAATCTTAATAATTATCTATACAACCCATGATGGAAAAATCATAAAATGGAATAAAACAACACAGGAACAACAAAATATATACAATTTATTTATCCATTTACCTATTTCTACAGCCATGATATATATATATATATATATATATATATATATATATATATATATATATATATATATATATATATATATATATATATATATATATATATATATATATATATATATATATATATATATATATATATATATATATATATATATATATATATATATATACATATAAATTAATATGTATATATTAATTTATATATAACACAGACACACAAAATATCAATACTATTCTATAAAACACAAAGTGAAAAGTCTTGGTGCAATTTTAATGTCTTTTTGTTAAAATTCCCTTATTATACTTGTAACTTAGTTACTCTTTTATTTAAATATTGTATCGATTATAGTTTATAGATCATAGAGTATAGAATATAGAAAATTAAAAAATATTTTTAAACGATAAATAACTAAACAAAATAATAGTCTTAAAATAATCAACCAAAACAAGTAGACATATTTAAATAACCGAGTTTGCGCATAATATTGTATGCGCCAAGTTGATAGTGTTAATTTTTTACTTATTTTTAAGATAATTAGGACGTCTTATGTGGGTCTTAGCGACGTCAATAGGACGTCTAAATATTGAAGTCCTGATATCGTCTTTATATTAACGTCACATGGACGTCCTAACAAAGACGTCTTTACCAGACGTTTTTAGGACGTCCTAATTTGGTCTGAGACGTCGCGACCTAGTTAAGACGTCCGTAAGACGTTTGATTCACGTCTTTTCCCGCTGGGTATATATATATATATATATATATATATATATATATATATATATATATATATATATATATATATATATATATATATATATATATATATATATATATATATATATATATATATATAAATAAAGAAAATAACTAACTTTTGTTGAGAAAATGCGATTGGTCAACTTTAGATAGTATTAATATGTCAAGGAATTGTTTCAGGAATGATACCATTCTCAATGAATTTTTCAAATTGGTTTATACCCTATCACGAAGTACTTTCTTTGAAACTCATATATGTCAACATTATTATAATGCAATTAAGGGTTAATATAATTAACAATTTTTTGTTGTTGTTATTATAGTGTTTAATGCATTTTTTACAGTCAACAATCATTTATATCAATATCACTTGTAAATACTGACCAGTAATATCACTCTATAAGTAATATTGATGTCTCTTCTGGACAAAACTTATATAAAAGCAAAATATGTGTAGTCTCTTCAAATTGATAAAAAAAAAAGAATTATTGTTTCTAACTTGTCTTGTTCTACTTCAGGTTACAACTTATGTCAGAGAAACTTTAATTGTTATTTGGAGAAATTTAAAACTTTCACCTACTTTATAGTGTCTACCTTTAGAATATAAAAAGTAACAACTAAAATATTACTCATCAAAGAAACCATTTTGAAAGTTGAGATCCTTAGAAACTTGTAGAAAGTTGAATTATCTAATAGCAAGTTTATTTCACAAGGTGCAAAATCTCGGGAAAAAAAATTGGAAATGGGGAATTTCGAATGTTTAGGTATTTTCACAATTAAGCATGCTCGAATAAGCGTCTGCATTATTATAAAAGAATAAAAATGACCCTAACAACCACTCTTCTGTAAAGGTTTCAGAAAATTTTAAACGGTGATTAGTAAATTTATAGATATGAAAATTAAAAATTTCATGGACTAAAGAAGATTTTTTCACTTATTTATGTTTATTAGCTAAATCAAGCTTAAAAGCACAACTTTAATACTTTAAATGCTTTTACAAAAAATCTTGGTTTTTAGATTTACAAAAAAGACACTTCTCCGTTTTTTAAGGATTCCAATTATTTTACTTACATGGCTCCAAATCCTTCTCCGTGTTTTTCTATGCAGCCGATTTTTGAACATTTTGTGGATTACCCGCTGTTGACTACAAATAAAATTTACGATTCTGCGCAACAAGATGGCTTCTTTATCCAATGACTAACCACGATTCATTTCAATATAAGTTAAAAGTTGTTTTCTATCATTAATCAAAATCAATGGTGGAAACTAAAAAGAAATCCAAAAAAATTGTCTTATTTATATTTATAAACATTCTTAATCATATTTTATTAACTTTGTCAATACATTGTAATCTATTTTATTTGTTATTGAATTTGATGTTATTATAATAAATTCTATAGTTGTATGTGTTAACGTTAATGCTACGTCACTAGATAATTTTAGAAGAACATGCGTTATATTTTGCTACTTTTCTCAAGTTTATCTCTAGACGAGGTACAGAAAATTCCCCCAAAACATGTTGCATTTACGTGAAAAATTTGGCAATTTGTTTTGCTGATGAATTCAACAGACACAAATTTTTTAGTTGAGTGCTTCATATTTTTGAGGCAATTTTACTTTGGTGATTTTAGTCTGAATTTTTAATAGTATAACGCTATGATTTAGAAAAGGTGTTATAGCTTTATTGATTTATTATAGATATTTTTATATTTAGTTTTTTCAAAAAATTTTTTTCTAAATATACAAGACATAAACGCGACGCTAAATATTGATTAATTAAATGTGTTATGTGTTCAAATTACTCTGTTTAGTCTAAATAAATATTAATTAAATGTGTTATGTGTTCAAATTACTCTGTTTAGTCTAAATAGATTGTCATTATTTTTATTTATGAATTTTGTCAAAAGCCAGGCAAATAAAATAAAATAAAAGTTTCCAAACTTGTATAATTTTATTGAGACACAGCTGAGACTCTTGTCATAAATTACACGGTTTTAAATCTTTAAGAAGCTTTAAGAGTCTTTAAAGCTTTGCGATGGTTTAGCACGCTCTTTAAGAAGATTTAATTTACATTTTTAGTACTCTGTTTAAGAGTCAAAGTGATATTAAGACTTTTGACATAGTGAAATTAAGACTTTCGGCAGTTTTCGTTATTTTGACATTATATTATACATTTAGTTATTTAGACAAATAAAGTTACTGTAAATACTTTGCTCAGTTTTTTGACGTTTTTTATTATTTTAATTTTTGTCTTAAAAGACATTACTTAGAAAATGAAAAATAAAAAAGCCTTTTTATGACTGATAAAAATCAAGTGTTGCATTCAGTGCAGTATGTTGCATAATTGTTGCACTTAGTGCAGTAGAGGAAATTCCACATATGATAAATATAATAGCGTCCTAATCTTTCCGATGGTTTTGGCACAAAAAGAGAATAGCTTCCTAATCTTTCCGATACTTTTGGAACAAAAAGAGAATTAAAATCAGACTTTATTTTTCAAAAAGGTAAAAAATTGCTGTTGTAATGCGTAAAAAAAAAACAACAGCCATATTAAAATAGAAGATATAAAAAGTTACAAATAAAACCATTAGAATGTTACTATATTGTTTACATAAATAGAATTACTCAGCCGTAGCGCAGTGGTTATAGTTCTGGCTCAGGACCCAGAGATCCGTGGTTCGACGAAAATATTAGAATAAAAAAGTTTCGATAAGAAATTTATTTTTTAAAAACTCATGAAGGGTTAAGGCTGTCAAAATTGTTAATAAAAAGTCTTTTTTAATATAAACTTATTTTGTTCTAAAATTCCTTGTCAAAGTTTTATTATTAAAAAAGTATTTTGCTCGGATACTTATTCTTCTGAATGTATATTGCTCGCTTTTCCAAACTTCCATTCCTAATATTGGGTAAACTATTTGTATATATAAAGACACATTTTAAGAGAATTTAATTTCTATTTTCTTAATAAATATGATACTCGAATATGCTTTAAATGCAACGATAGATTTAAGGATGTTTCTAAAAACTATTTTCCATTTCGAGAAAAAAATTTTTTATTTTGATGGAGCACAAAAAGGTTACTACGTGTCGGGAAAAACTAGCTGATTTTGTAGAAGCATGTATAAAAGGTAGCCGAACACATAAAATCAAACTATAAAGTTCATCCACAAACTTAATTTCAAACTTAATTTCATTTACTTTAATTGTAACAAGGAAAAGGTTTTAACGCGTGAACAACATGAGCTGCTTTCCACTTACAATGTTTTACCGTTCTTTTTTTTACGTTTAACAATCAAGGTGCTATTTATTTTTATTTTTTTATCCTTAACTGATTAACTGATACTTGTGACCGCTGCAAGAATTATGAGAAACATTTAGACCTTAGTTATTTTTAAAATAACTTAAATTACATAAAAATAAAGCAATGAAAATTTATTAAATATTACTGTTATGTAACATAAAAAGAAAATCCTAACCCCCTACTTATGCCTTTGTTGCACTTCTTAATAAATCTACAGCAGCCGTGGCGCAGTGGTAGCGCACTTGACTCGTAAAGAAGCGTAAGATCCGTGGTTCAAACCGCACCTATAAACAAGTTTTGCGACATCGGTTGGGAAGGAGGCGTGAACTTCCTTTTAAATGCTCTTCCGCGGTGCTCTGTGATAAGACCGTTAGGACTTCTTGGGGCACCTTAATTAACTTAAAAAAAACAACAAAAAAAAACATTAAATTATATTATATAATTCTCAACTTTATGCTCATTCGTGAGTGTTTGAAACGGAACTCATAGCAGCCGTTGCAACCGATGTAATGGCGAGAAAGTGTCGCAAAACCATTTTTTTATAAAAAGATAAGAACAAAAGTGTATGTGAATATCTAATTTAGTTAAATATCAAATTATGTAATGTTAAAACATATATAAAGTTTTACAGTTTTACTTTTAAAACTGAATTGCGGCAACATCTCATTAATTTTGCTTTACAGCATATATTTGTCATTTTATAAAGTCTTTTGTTTTTTAAAATGGTGTTAAAACTTTTATCGAACAATAGGCCTTAGTCGCCGAAATGGTCAACTTGCAGCGTTCTGAAATAAAATAACACGATTCAAAAAAACATTTGAAGTTCTACAGATGCTATATACATAACATATATAAAGTTATAATATGCTACTAGCTGACTGGACCCATAAAAATCCGTTTTATTTGTAAATCTATTCTTCACCGACCTTTTCTATACATGTTATATATATATATATATATATATATATATATATATATATATATATATATATATATATATATATATATATATATATATATATATATATATATATATATATATATATATATATATATATATATATATATATATATATATATATATATATATATATATATATATATATATATATATAGAGTGTATGTATATTATTAAGAAAACATCAAATAATACAAATTCTCTTAATACAAATGATAATTTATTATTAGAAATTTATGGTACCGTAATCCAGCGAAAATTTCTAATAATAAATTATCACTTGTATTAAGAGAATTTGTATTATTTGATGTTTTCTTAATAATATACATACACTCATATACACGATGTCAAGACTAAAGATATATATATATATATATATATATATATATATATATATATATATATATATATATATATATATATATATATATATATATATATATATATATATATATATATATATATATATATATATATATATATATATATATGTATATATATATATATATATATATATATATATATATATATATACACTGTAAAAAATGTAACGCCAAATTTTTAAATGTCCCATCAAAATGTTTAAATTTCGCGCCACTTTTAAATCTTTAAAAAAAAATGCTCCAAGTCGCGCGACTTATCACAGTTTACAAGCAATTACTAAATTTTTTTACTGTCATAAGTTATGACAATTAATATAGAGTGTATTTTTAGCTAATTTTTTTTTAACATTAATAGTAATGTAATAAAATGTAAAACTCGTTGCAAAGAAATATTTACCTTTAGATTTAAGCGTGAACAAATTATCTTCTACAGCCAAAACCACTGGCATAAATTTTGATAAATAGGAAACTTTAATTATTTTAGACAGAATAACCGCAAAAAATTAATTAACGTGATATTTCTTTTTTTCGCTGCGGTCACTTATACAATTTACTAGTCACGCGTCATTTAGCGCATGGCGCGAAATTTATTAGTATGGCATGACATTTTAACAATTATACTTTATAATTATTGGGGGCAAATATTTGCCCCCAATTCTTGTGTATTCGCGTTTTAAAAATTTTATTTTTTTGAGCACATTTAGTCCACATGCAGATCACTACGTTGTTTCTATATAAAGTTAGATCTGAGACAGGGGCGGGTTTTGTCACTCGCCAAGGAGGGGGCTAAAAAGGTCTTAAAAAAAGAAAAGAAGTTCCGCATATTTTGCACTTTCTTTTTTATTTTTTTTGTACCTCAATGTAATAATGAAGTTCATACATGCATAATTACGTATAATAGTCAATTTCATTCGTCAGTATAATATAGCCCAGATCAGTATAATAGTCAATTTACAAAAGAATATTTCTAAAAAAAAGTCTCAAGTAGAGGGAGGGGGGGGAACTACCGTTATGACCCCCTCCCCTATTTAGTTATAAAGAAATAATAATAATTATATATATATATATATATATATATATATATATATATATATATATATATATATATATATATATATATATATATATATATATATATATATATATTATATATATATATATATATATATATATATATATATATATATATATATATATATATATATTTATATAAGATGGTTTGTTATTTTAAGTCAACTCTGGTGACTAAGATGGTTTTGTTGTTTTAAATGCACAAGTCAGACAACTTGTGTTTTCAAAACAACAAAACTAGAGCTTAACGCGTGAAAAACTTCCTGCATCTAGCCAAAGCTAAAATGTTTATAAGCATCTGATGCTTCGTAGTTACTTATAGCCTCAAAATAAAATATTATAGGACTTTTTATTAAATAAAAGTCATGGTATTAAACTCATGGCCATTCAGCTTGATCATCTTTCCAAGTATTTGCAAGGAGTTTGTATACAAATCAGTTGATTTCAAGGATTGCAGGTTTATTTATATACCTTTCTGCGGCGTTAAAATCTAGTTTTTCAAAGTATTCGTGAACCGACTTTTCTTTTTTTAAAACCCTTTAAATCATCTTTCCGCACAAGTTCTCCAGCTTCATTAATCGTTTGTTTTCCTCCATCCAAGATGGCAACAACTTGCGCTATAGTTTTGTATTACCACATGACTTTCCGACTGCGAGGATATGAGTAAATTGTTGAGGTTTTATGTTTGAATAACTGAAGTAAAAATCCGTAACAAGCTTTGTATATTATTTT